TGTTGGAATCTTATACCGCCAGCTTTCTTTAGTTGCCTCTCATCAAAGTTTCAGGATTAGCACGCCAAACTATAAAGCAGGTTGTACCATAAGCCTTCCTGTTATCATGTCTAGATATGTTACAGCATCCAAAGACCATGTTCTTGTCGTTTACATCTGCTTCTTGTCCATATCAAATCTATATCGAACCCTTTGTCTCTCAAATCATTGTCCCTTTCCATAAGCCATGATGCAAACTATTTGCTTCTCCTTAAGAAAGATGATACATTCTATTTACTGCGGATTCTTGTAGAGCAATGCATAAGACATCGTAGCACATATCGGAGATTCAGACCTTCAACCTATGAGAAAGAAATCTAACATATATCATCAGCCTAGATGCATTGGGCCCTTCTTAATCTCCCCAACACTTGTAATGTCACTTTGCTCAGATTCCATAGTTCAAGAATGGAAACCGGGCAATCATGGACTTTCCATTGAAAGGAAAAAAGTAGATGATGATTAGGTTGGCTGAGGTTGAAGAATTGTCACGAAACAACCACATTGCACAATCTGTTGGGTAGAAAAAGTAAAGCTAGGATTAGGATTCTTAATCTAAGAATCCAAGGAAGTAGTGATTGTGGGGACGTTTTCCCTTTTTCTCCTTTTTCTTTCTTTGAGACAAAAGGCAATAGTCATATTACATTGCAAAAGGCTGAAATGAAATGAGGAGGAAGAGAAAAGAGGCATGTGTTAGGGGACTTGTATGATGACTCAGACCTTGCATTACGATGATATGATAACCTCTTGCATTTGATTGTTTCCAGAAACCCAATTAGTCAGTGCTCTTATGAACAGGCTTAGCCAAGGAGGTGTTTTCATCCAATACAAAGAGGTCATGCTGTGGTTTCTATGAAATGATCATTGCTTGAGCTAGCTTGGCACTTGAGAAGGACACCAGTCTACATTTGAGGATAACGGTTTAAAGTATTGGGCAAACATCACTTTAATTTCTGAAGGTTTTATTGGGACACAACCAAAGTGCCAAGAATGTAATCTTGGGGTCCATGCAACAACAAGTTCTTCTGCAAACTTCTATGCTGGTGTTCCAATTCTTACAGACTTAAGTATATGTAGACTTGCATTTGGTTTATAACTGATTAATCCTTTTATGTTGTATGCTATCAATTTGGTGTAGAAGATTACTATGGTGAAATGTTAGTGGGTATCACACTGTAAGAACATTAAATGAAGGTTAATTAGATTTGATTGTATTTTGGAGCTACATGTCTTGGAGCTTTTGTAGTGGCTCAGCTCCTATGTGATGAACTAGTAGTTTGAAGGTTTGATATTGCCTGAATGTTCAATATACAATGATATAACTAGAGTAAAGAATTCAAGCATGGAAAATGCTACTTGTCAGAAGTTTCTAGCCTCTCTTATTATTTTTTATCGTCTGGAAATTTCTTTGGAAGATTCATCCTCTGAAGCTTTATTAATATATTAGGAACTTCTTTGGACTAAAGAATGCTTCTGACCACAATTTAATCTTGTAGTTCTTCTAAGTGTTTTTCTTATTAGAATATTATTTGAATCAACAGGTTATTCTTAAGTGAAATTATATGATCATTTTATCCCCTTAATTTGTTTTCTGCTAGCCTTCATTTAGCATGTGATCATCCAGATTCTTTGAATCAATACTCTTTTCTATTTAAAATGAGCTCTGAAGTCTCAATTCTCTTTGCACACAAACACTAACTTGTGCTGAACTAATAAACAATTTACTGAAAATTGTATGTATCCATTAGTTTTTTTCTAGGCATAGAGTTAAATTTGTCTCAGATACTCTTAAAAGAGCAACCAGTGTGTTTCACTTCCACCCAAAGTTGTTGTAATTTGAAGGTTACTTCTTTGGAGATGAGAGTTCACTACATCAGCATGAATTTGATATCCCTGGAAAGTTAGATCTCAGGAAATTGCAGAGCATCTTGCAGAAAAAGCTGGTCAATACAGTGGCAATTAAGATGGTTCCACTGTCTGATTCATGAATCATTCTCAGGTGCCACTCTTATCTGGTGTTCCCTTCTTTTCTTCCATCTGATGTCCTCCACCTACAACTGCACAAATCACAGTCAATTACATTCTGAGTTGGCACCTATGGTTTCCTCTTTTTTCCTTCAAGGAAATACACTTGATAGGGTGCTGATATCTGATCAGTTCTTTAAGACATATCTTCAATCCCCTTTCAGACATATATATAAATCTGAATTCACAATGTTGGATAAACAAATAATGCTTTGCCCTCAATTTAGTGGGCTAAAACAGAGGCCATAAATGTTTTTACTTGCCATTGTAAGTATTCATAGTCCCAACTCTGAGCACTCTCCTCCTGATTTGTTCAAGTCATGATATCTCATTTTGGAGTTCATATTGAGCAAGCACATCTTATCCTGTGGAAAGGAGTAAAGTGTACTGTTCATGCTTTATGTCCTTGTGGGGTTGTGGGTCTCTTTCTTCTACTGGACTAGATCTGGCACTACAAGTGAACAGTCTTTAGAAAGAGGACCACAGTTGTTCTTTTTCTTCTTCTAATAGATGGTGGATATTGTTGCTGCTGGAGGCAGCTTTCTTCCTCAATGGAGATAACACAAGCTTTGTGAAGGGTTGCTCTAATAGCTGACTCCCTCATTGGACTTCTCCCATGTGAGTTTGGCACATCCCCATCAGTTTGGTGGTGCATCAATTACAACAGCTGCTGCTTACAATAAATTGCATAGTTGTCTGAAAACAAAAGCTTTGTCTGAGGCTAAATCAAAATTTGGCTGATTTCTGATTTCTGGCTGACCTGCTGGCCATTGTTTTCCTGATATGCAATTAATTCTGTAGAATGTTTCTTCCTCACAAGAAATTGTGAGTTTGTTTGAAAAGGTTCTTATTTAACTTAAATGGACACACCACTTTAACATCAGTCTTCAGTCTTCAGTCATCAGTCATGCTGAGACTCTCTCAGTTGTCAGATGAAACTTTTAGTGGAATTGTTCCTTGTTGTTGCAGATCTATAGTGGGGAATGATGTAATACCATTATGTTATGGAATAAACATGAGCAGTTACCAAAACATAACATTGTTTGGACTGACAGTGGTTGATAACATGATACAATGCATGCTCTAACTTTTAGGTGAATTGATGTAATTGCCATGATTCAAGTGAGGTTACCATCAAATTGATGAATATAAAAATAAAAACAATTATTTTATTATGAAAAGTAAGGAATTTTTTTTCTTGGTAAATGTCCTTTTCAATTTGAAACAAGCCAAAATCATTAGTGACAGAAGAATGTGTTGGTGTACAAAATAATCTAAATTTGTCTTTTGTTGACTCATGACAGCACATCCTACTTGTGAATTGTGATATTAATTCTTCTCCATGACTTGACTACACTAGACTTATATCTAATAGGTAGGTGTGATTAAGTGGACATGTCCGAGGAAAACATTCTCAATTGCTTGGATTAAGGCAAGACGACTAAATTAGACTTATATTAAACATTCTTAAAATAATGATTAGTCTGATATCATGTCTAATTAGATTTCATGCTAAGTGCTAATCTAAGTCGACCGGAATAATACAGCTTGACCATTGACTCTGATATCATGTCGGAGTATTATTATCATTATCTTTGAATTTAAGGGAATCAATTCTAAATATATATTATAATTTTTATTTTGATCAGATTGAGTAAGAATACAATCACATTATCCTTATCTCCATCTGACTCTGATAAATCTTATATTGGTAGAAGCTTCGTGTACATGTTGCAATAAAAGATTAAGATTGTACAATCATCACCATCACCACCAACCATAAGAGAAGGAGAACAGAACACCATTCAAATATCTGAGGGGAGCTCTAACAATGGTGACTAAGCTCACTGTCACCTTGTCATGACCATCAGAAACTTTAGTGGAGGAGGAAAAGCATATCTTGATGGGACCTGGCACTGCCAAATCATATCTTCTCCATGCATGAAGTTTGAGCTAAATGGGGGAGTTCAATTATAACCCAGTACAAGCACCTTTTGTTCCTTTCTCACCAACCCCATCAGACCTGTCTTTGCTTTATGGCATCGGTTTGCACTACCAACACCAGGCTCCAACCACCTACAATTCAGATCTAACCAGTCTCAACCATTTCTAATGATTATAGTGAATTTATAATGATGTTAGGCATGGAGTTTGATCCTTCCCATGTCACCTGGTGTTATGATGAGAATGGTTGTGCTGTTCAATCAATCAATCTATGGTGGATCGAAAGATCATCCTTGTGTCATGTTCTTGGAGATACTTAAAGTTTCCTTTTTTGTTTTTGGAGGATAATGCAATAACAAGGTGTGAATCCATGACAAGCAGGTCTCTGTTTCGGTGCCTTGGAACTCTCATCGTCATCAGATTTGTTCACTGACTTGGTAGGTAGATTTCCAGACCAGTATCCAACTCTGAGGATCCCTGTCGCTGCTACCACTATCCCAGCCCAAAGCTGACACAAAAGAGGAGAACACAGCCTGAACCGTTCATGGCTATCATATCCAAAAGAAGAGATCACATCAGACGTGATCATGTCACACTCGAAGTGTCCATCGAAGCCCACTTTTTCTCAGCACGTTTGAGCGTCCTTCGACGTCTCGGTCCATGAAAAGCTCAGGTGATGCGCACTGTACCAAAAGCAAAAAAGCCTCCACTAGAAAGCAAGGAGACTTTTGTGGTCGAGATGACATGTTACCAGAGAGAAAAAGCTCTGATCGCGCCATGGCTGCTTCCGCAACCACTTCGGCCAAACGATGGCCTTCAAAGTTCCCACTTCAGCGGGCAGGAGTTGGATTAGGTAGGCATAAGAGCGAGGAAACAGCAACATTTACCAATGCTGCCTTCTCTTGTGATTAAAGATATGAATACTTGTTCGTGTCACATCTCATTTTCTCTCTCTTCTATCATGGTTCTGTGACAGACCCCTGGCATGGCCCAACTGGCAGGTGCTGTGGTTGGCTTCTTTATACCGGGAGGGCAAAAAGAGCCCACTGCAACAGCCACTTCCGGCTTCTCCTTCCTCTCGGACCGCCTTTTTGCCCCTTCTGTTATGGCTCTGGATTAGCAACAGGAGATCGAAGAGGTGGAAATGGAAACGAGTGCAAGCTCCTTGCAGTCTGTTTCGGGGGCCTGCGGCTCCAGCGACTCCTTCCATGGGCTCAAGTTTGCGAGAAATGGTGGTGGTGGTGGTGGTGGTGGAGGGAGCTTCTTGGAGGCCTCAGTCTATTTGGCGCCCATGGCGGCCGCAGCTCCGCCGAGGAAGGGGAAGGGGGTAGTGCAGCGAGGGCAGCCGCCGCCGCCGCCGCCCAGGTGCCAGGTCGAAGGGTGCAATGTGGATCTCACAGGCGTCAAGGCTTACTACTGCAGGCACAAGGTGTGTGGGATGCACTCCAAGTCCCCCAAAGTAGTTGTGGCAGGGATAGAACAGCGCTTCTGTCAGCAGTGTAGCAGGTTAATTTCTTGGCCTCTTTCCTCTGTTCTTATAGGTTTCTCACTTGCTAATATGATCATGTGAAGTACAGCATCAGACAAGCTTGCTTGCTGTTGCATTGTTTGGTTCTTTGTGTTCATGCAATTCGGGGTATCATTTTATCTGGAAGCTGATGACATATGGTTTAGTGATGGGATGAAATTGGTGTTGAAGCCTGATTCTGGTTATGGAATGTTATTTATATTAGGAATTCATACATAAATATGTTGAACTTTGGAGAAGAAGCTCATGATCATTCACAGGGGAAAATTTGTGTTAAAAGGACCTTAGATTTAAAGAGTGTGGCAACTTTTGTGAACTATTTGTAGGTCTGATAGGTTTTCGACAACTATGTAAATGAACCAATAAAAATTAGTACAACAAAACATGCTATTGGTATGATTACTATCAGCAATTCAACCAATTTTGGCATCTATATATCTCAAGATATGGAACCAAATTGCCTATCAACATCATACAGCACAGTACATTTTGCTTTGCTTGATTCTTGCATTCTTAGACAATGCTGATTGATAACAGTGATCATTTGAGGCTAACATTTGCACAGGTTCCACCAATTACATGAATTCGACCAAGGGAAACGCAGTTGCCGCAGACGCCTGGCGTGCCACAACATGCGGCGAAGAAAGCCACCTCCTGGAACTCTGTCATCAGCTTTCCATGGTTAGGCTCACCTGAGCTCCTTTGCTAAACTTGTCACGCTTTCCTTCGATCTGCTCATGTCTCTGCCTTCGACCATCTTCTAAAGCTTATCTTTAAACTTAAGCAGAAGACAGCAATGGATTTAGAGGATTTCTTGTGGACTTTACTCACCCTAAACTACCTGCGCTAGCGCGAGATGTATGGCAAATTGGTCAAGCTGGTGATCAGGCACTGAGCATTCAGTATCAATGCGGCTTAGGAACTCCATCAAATAGAGGAGTAATACTCATGCAGGATCCTGGGACTGAGCCCATATTCTCGACATCGGGAACTCTAGATCTTGCAGCAGGTTCAGACTCTAGCTGTGCTCTCTCTCTTCTGTCTCAGCCATGGGATAGCACCAGTAAGGTAAACCACCAAGCTATTTCCTCTGAAGGAATACCAATTGCAGAACCTACAAGTAAGAATGACTGTATAGATAGTTCATGGGGGTTTAAAGGTCTTGAAGGCAGTAGCAGCAGCACCTCCTTTGATGCAAGACCAAGACAAGTTGGACAACCTGAAAACAGTCATTTCTCTGGTGAGCTTGAGCTAGCCTTTCTAAAGAGGCAATGCATGGGCCTTGATCCCAGTAGGAGATATCAGCATTTGGATGATGTGATCCACTGGTCTCTTTAGTTCCTTTTCTTCTTGTTGGCTGTTGTTCCTTTTAACTATCAAGATTGTAACCATTGGTGTGAGATTCTGCTAGCATGCTACTCTCAGCTTGAAGTTCTTCAAGAAGTTAGAAACTGCATCATTTATGCTCAAATATATTTTCCTGAACAAATTTGTGGTCAAATATTTGAGAGCAGATCTTTCTTTTGTTCCAGTAGTTCAAAGATCTCAAGAGTGTCAATGTGATGTCTGTCTGCAGTAACTTCTCAACATGAATTGTAGGATGAAGATCATCAAATGGGTTGTTTGGCATCAGAAACTCCTGCTACAGATCTCTTCCAGGAATTGCCTGTCGAGGAACATCATCTTCTGCTGACCAACTCCAGATGTAATTTTTCATCATTTTGCTGTATCTTATCCTAATTATTAATGGATTTAAAATGTCATCTTATTGTTTATGTAAGCTAAGAATGTGTTTGTCTCTATGTTTTGTTGTCCATGAGATAGTTCAATATATCTCACTCCTTGTTTTGTCACTCTCATCATAATTCTCTACCATGTTTATTTCTAATGTATGACAAGCACATTTTTTTTATTAAGTGGCAATTAGGAATATTTGATGTTTAAAATATATATATATATATATATATATATATATATATAATAGAATAATATGTATCTTTTTTTATAGATGAGATAAGATGAGAGAAAATTATTTAAGGTGATATTGACTTGTATTTAGGAAATCTCCAAATATAAAGAGAGGTAGAGGAAGACCTAAAAAGATAAAAAGATATATGTGTGATGAATTTTCATAAAAAAATCTAACTTTTAAAATTTTTGATATAATATTCCAACTTTGAAATTTTTTATAGAATATATTTTTCTAAAATGATCATTTTACTCCCATCCCACCATAGTTGTGCCTCCACCTCATCGGTTGCCCCCTTTCGTTGTGTTAGTTATCATCCAACATTAGACCTACCCAATGACGAAGACGTAGTGGCCCTTGCTAGACCCGTTGGACCAATGACAGAGGTTGCAAATGAAGACGAGTCGACCCCCCTCCTTCCTCCCCTACGGGTGAGAGCATACCCCCCTCCTTCCTTGTCGACGATCCATAGTAAGGAGAGGGCATGAGGAGGCTACATAGCCCCTCCGCAACTAACGGTAGAGGTTGCAAGTGAGGGTAGGCCACCACCCCTCTTTCCTCGCCCGTGGCCAATAGTGAGGGGGGGCTACGTGCGATAGCAACAACTACGAAGGATGCACCTTCATCGCGGGGTCCGATGAAGGTAGAGGCCTTGCCCTCGATGAGGAAGGAGAGCTTGTAGAGGTTGTACCTCCGTCGCTGGGTAAGTCTAATGGAGGGACCTACTCAAAAATAGTGGTCATTGATGGGTGGAGGTACATGACAAGTTTGACGAAGATAGAGGTGACAAGTTTGACGAAGATAGAGGTAAAATAATCTTTTCATGTGATAAAGGCACTCCGTGGGATTTTTTAAGATTAGGTTACTTTGCATATATTCTCAAAGTATGAGCTTTTTTCTTAATATTTATCATATATATATTTTATAACTTTAATTTATACATATAATGTATGGGAGCAAACGAAATTTTATTTATAGTCTTACTAACATGTTTAGAACCATATCATGGTAATTTACCATAAAAGACTACAAGGAGCATATTATTTCTCAAACAAGTGGTATCAATTATTTTATTTAGTAATATCATAATTACTATTGATAGGGAATACACTATCGGTTTATCATCATTCGATATATAGCTGTTATGTGGAGTCCATGTCACCTTCCATTCATCTGCTTATATGGACAAGAGTCCAAAGAATATTCGATAGAGTATTCTTCTCCCTTAGAATATTACATAAAATATTGTACCCCCTTAAATTAGAGGGGGGGGGGGGGACTTACCTTTTTAACTACTCGCATCCGCACTCCGAGATTCAAGGTTACTAACTTGAGTGTGAAAGGGATCGAGTTAAGAAACCTATCTCGACCCTGGTCTTTGTACAGATTGTCACGGACAAAATTGTAAATGGGGTGTTTGATGTAATGCTTATATATGTCCGTGTCTTTCGGTTTTATTCATGCTTTACACATCATGTAAAAGGTTAACAGTAGGCTTAGTAGCATCATTTTCTTTGGATTTGGTGGTTGTCTTAGACTTGTAAACAAAGGGTGTGTCATGTGGATACTTATGGGGATTTCGGTCTGTAGTAGATCATTTTGGATCCTTGTGCGATCGTTCAGAGCTTGTGAAGTCTGTTTGCAATTTGCATTGACTATGAAGTGTTTATTGAAATGATTGCTTGTGGATCCCGAGTGAGATGTTTTCTCTAACCTGTTTTCTCTTTTGTAGGTCATAAGGGAGATCATATAAGATTTCGGAGAGGTTGACCTTTATGGACAGACACGCAAGGGTATTGCACAACTTAGGCAAAACTAGATAAGTGCATGATATATAGTATAAGAGCGGGACAAGCACCTAGAAAAATACTTAGCATTCAAACATGGGAGATCTAGTAGGGCTATGTTGAGGGCAGCCAACATGCGTGACCGTTTAGGAAAACGAGCATAGAGATATATGGAAAAGGAGTCGCTCAGAGAAGTAGGCATTTGAGATTAACATTCAGAGGAATGACAAACCCTTCACGCAAGAGACACCACGAGGATAAGTAAGTAGGAAAGAATGTGTAGCGCACAAAGGTTGGGATAGTTGAGTTCGAGCCATGACTCGATGTTAGCAACCATACTTGATGGTGCTCAAGACAAGCGAGGCGCTTGGTAAAGGATGAGATTATGCAAGGTGGAATGAGTATTGCAAAGTTCACGGAGGTGAGAGGAATTACTAACTTGAAGAATTCAATACTCATATAAGGGTTTATATGCAAACGATGGAATATTCATGGCCATCCTGAAGGGATCGGATTGGAAAACCTCTCTTGATTTAAGTCTTCGTATAAGTGGTACCTCAGGAGCTCGATGTTTTTATCTCGAAGGTATCTCAACCTTATGCATGTGGATTCGAACCACGTTGAGCTAACCAAGACTTCAACTATATTTTCCCTCGTCAATCATTATAAGTTTTAATATAGCACTTGCGTACCCTCCAAATATTAAAATCTTTCACATGGCTCAAAATTTTAAATTAATTATCTTTAATCTTAGTGAATATTTATTTTTAAATTTAAAATTTACATGTTCCAAAAATAAATTTTAATATTTTAACATCAAAACATGTATTCAGGCAAATAATAATAATTTTAACAAACTCTTAACTTAATATAGCCTAGAGATTAACTTTATGATGTCATAAATACAAAGTTTAGGGATATATCTGTAATTACAATCTATCGTATCCAAAGGTCCTTCTCGGCGTCCATGTGGCGCGAGACCATTGGCGAGAAGGATTGTGAAGCACATCAACCCACCTCTCTCTCGAGCCACATGGCGACGGGAGTGCACGTTGCCACGACCCTCGGCTTCCCGGCTGCGTTTCGGTGGCGCAGCTCCCAATCCCCGAGCTGTAACGGAATTAAGAAGGAAAGAGATGGTGGTCCTTGGATTCTCCACCACTTTGGTCCTCGGGTGTCCCTTGAGCTCCATCTTGTCCTCTTAGCTTGATGCCTCTTTTAATTTCTTATGATGGGTACGAGCTTAAAGTGCTTGTTGAATTGCCTGTTACAGTGACAGAGGAGCTTGGGCGGCTTGCAGAGTCAACCGCTTTGCTACCTCAAGTGTCAGGTTGTGCCGCAAGAGGTCTGCAGTGATCAGAGCTGAAGTGAGATTCGTGAACGGCGACGAGGCGAAGAAGCTTGTTACAGAGGAAGGATTCACGGTTCTGGATGTTCGAGACAGAATCCAATACGAGCGAGCTCGCATCACCTCATGTTGCCATGTACCCCTCTTTGTGGAGAACCAGGACAACGACTTTGGTATGCATCCCCCTGAGTTTCTTGAGTTGTGTTGCTCTCGTTCTGCAAGGCTGTGACATCAACCGTTGTTTGCTATCAGGCACCATCATCAAGAGGACAGTGCACAACAACTTTTCCGGCTTGTTCTTTGGGCTAGCGTTCACTAAACCCAACCCCGACTTTGTGCAATCAGTAAAGCAGCAGTTTCCCGCGGACAGCAAGTTGCTGGTGGTATGCCAGGAAGGGTTGAGGTTAGCTGCTGCTACTGCAGTTGTCTTTTTGTTATCCGGATGTCTGCAAGTTTTTCTGCTTACTTCATAGTTGCTCCTGGTACACCTACCATTTGATTTCATAAGCTCTCTCTTGATGTCAAAGCTTATTCTGCTAAATCTCATAGTCCTCAATTGATCTGTAGTTTCTGCTGCTCTTATGATACTAGACGTACAGTCATAAACCATTATTTACCTGGGTCTTTTAATGACTCCGTTAGAACTTTTGAACGTGACTTAGCACATCGTGCATGCCTGTGGTGAACTAGAGATGTGATTTACTGTCTTAAGGTGTAGGTATCGACTAATCCCACCCCAATTTACAATCGGGATATCATTTTTCTGTAAGTACGATCATGAGGATGATAAAGAGCTATCGATACCGTCATTAGAAATGAAAAATGAGAGAAAAATATAATAGAAAGAAAACTATCGATGTGGAGATTAGAAAAGAGAAAGTAGCAAAATTTATATTTTCTTCCTCCAGAATTTTCTTTTATTCAATTCTTCTTTCATTCTCCATTGTTATTGCTAATGCTGATAGCTCTTAATCATCTCCACGATTGCACATAAGAATGATATCTTGGTTGTACACTGGGGTGAGATGCCGATCAATACTTGCACTAATCTCCTGTTACTAGACTCATGTTACTGAGGTTAGGCCATACTCGTTCAAACTGTTAACCTTGTTGCTTGCCTGATTCTGAAGGTCTGCTGCAGCAGCTAATACCCTAGAAAAACAAGGCTTTGAGAATGTAGCATGCCTCACCTCTGGTCTTCAGTCAGTAAAACCAGGTTCTAATCTTGCCTTATCTTTATAACTAAGGCTTTCACACATGCTCACTCATAGTTGTTTTGCTTGTGTCATTTATCCATACAGGAACCTTTGATTCTGTTGGTTCCACTGAGCTGCAAGATGCTGGCAAGGCTGGTCTTGTGACTATCCAAGGGAAGATTTCTGCTGTTCTTGGGACTGTGCTAATCTGTACGCTTTTCAGACTGCTTAACATGAATAGATGATTTCAATGTCTTTTTGCTAGCTTCAGACTTGTTGACTTGACCATACTCTACTTACATTCGATTGCAGGCGCCTTTCTTTTTATTACATTCTTCCCTGAACAAGCGGAAAAGTTGCTTCAGATGAGCCCTGCAAGCTAGCAGTTATGATGTTTCAGTCGCACCCATCTCTAGTTCCAAATGTTGATGTGAAATCTTCTTAGAAGCTTGCTTTTCTTTTCAGGTAAATAAAATTTCATCTATCAGCATCATAAACTATTCCTTGTATGCTTGCTGCAGAACATGCACTGGAATTAATGATATAGCCAAACTACTGATACAATTGCATAGATGATCACCAGGTCTAAGCACAAAACCTCAACCTGTATCTATTTCCAGGAAGCTACTGACAAAAATTAACTGGATTCATTTCTATTACATTCTCATACACTACATTTGCGAGCATCTAATCTTAAATTGACAATGTTCTCTGCAAATGCAGGATGAAGGTCTGAGTGGGTCTTGTGAGGAGAATGACCAGGCACAGGAGTTAGAGTTTTTGCCATGCAGAATTCCAAGCCAACATGCATTGCTTGTTGTAACGAGTGTAAATTTAATGGGTTAATCTCAATATACATTCTGACCTCAGTGGATCCCAGCAACAAAATGGCAATAATTCACTGCTACTGTTTCTATTTCCAATTGTTAATCTTCAGATAAAAGTGTCATCACGATTTTGAAAGCAAAGTACCTCACATAGAAACACTTCATAGTTTGAAGAGGGTGTTTGATCGCTTACAAATGGATTGCTTATAAACATTTAAGTATTTAGTTGGCACAAATATTTAAGTTTTTGTCTATTTGATGTGTACTAAAAAAAAGGCCCAATTTCCTACTGAATAATCATGACTAGCTTGTGTTTTGGCGCTGGTAAAAGGACCACATGGAACAATAAATTCAACATATTTTTGTTTACAAAGGCAAAATTAAGTAAATTGATTTTCGCAAAGCACTACTTATAATAGGATTAATTATAGATTATTTTTTGTAATTAATTATATTTAATATCTTGATCTTTATATTTTTAAAAAATTATATTGAGATCTTACTTATAAAAATAAAATATTTAATCTTATTTTTTGTTATCTATTTTATTAATAAAAATATTATAGAGTTTATCAATAAGTATGTGTTGATTTTATTTTATTTTAATTTATTATTAAGAACGTACGATATTTTTATCATTAAAATCGATAATATAAGGATAAATAAAGTTAAATAATTTATTTTTATAAATATAAGGATCTCAATATAACTTTTAAAAATATAGAGATCGTTAGAAATAACTAATTACAGCGTAATATGTCATTAACCCTTTATAATAAATTTTTTTACAAAAAATATATCTATATATATATATATATAATTTTTTACATTAATTAGAATTCAGAAAAAATAAATCATTTACTTATCTCGAGAAAGGAAGGCATTCAGCACTTAAAATATATATTATTATTCATTTGTGTTAATTAATTTATATTATTAATAAACTTAAAATATATATTTTCTTCAGCATACGTATTATATATAATTTTAATTATCTTATGAGCCAACCTAACGGAACCCCAACCTCATCTCTATGAGAGAATCTTGACCGTCCATCACATTGCAGATGATTCTGATGAGATGATCTCACACTCGACTAGGGTTTCCAAACGCCGTCTATAAATGATCCGCTCCGTGTCCTTCGCGATCCTCCTCCGCTGGCCATTTGAAGGCTCTACCGTCCTCCGCATCTCTCTCCCCGTCCTTGCTCTCGCCATGGCGCCGACAAAGAAAGAGAGGACCGCGAGCCGGAACCCTAGCCTGGTCCGAGGCATCGGGAAGTTCTCGAGGTCGAAGATGTACCACAAGCGAGGGATCTGGGCCATCAAGGCCAAGCACGGCGGCTCCTTTCCCCGCCACGAACCTAAGCCCGCGTCGGCCCCGACGGCAGCGGTCAAACCACCCAAGTTCTACCCCGCCGACGACGTCAAGACCCCCATCCCCAATCGCCGCAAGCCCAAGCCTACCAAGCTCAGGTATAAGGGTTTCGCCAGGTGGTCTTCAGATTTGTTTGTCTCTTGCTGTTACCTTTATCGCTCAAAGTCGGTTTTTGCGGTGCTTTTGTTCCTTGTTACACGATTCAGGGCGAGCATCACCCCGGGAACCGTTCTGATCCTTCTTGCTGGGAGGTTCATGGGAAAGAGGGTTGTCTTCCTGAAGCAGCTACCTTCCGGACTTCTTTTGGTTACTGGTTAGTCCCTCTGGATATGTTCGAATTAGATCTATTTTTTTAATCATAATATTGTGCTTCTGTATGGCTATTATGTTCTTTGCTGATATCAGTGATTCTCTGCTTCTTTGCCGAACCTCTTGCTTGAAAAATAGCTTGATATTGCCTTTTTTATGTGAGTATTTAAGAAGATACAAAAAGAAGTCTCTTTTGTAAGTCAGCTTTGCTTGGTGGGCAAATGCCTGTGTCTATTTGCTTTGAAGAGAATATGATGACAAAATGTTAATTCCTTAATGATAAAATATTAATACCTTTTTATATTTACTTGATATTAATATACTATTTAGAGATTTTAGCTAGCTGAATAATTTTCATGAAACAATAGCCATCCCTGGTTATTCTAAATATATAATTTTACACATGGTCAAGTTTGGTGGAGCCAGTCATGGTTATCTTAAGTCTGTGTTCATCATGTGTCCATATCTGTGTCTGAGTTTTTCTATCCAAACTCTCCTAGGTCCAATTTTATCAGTATTCAGGTATCTTGATATTATTCAGAATCATAAATTAAACTTATTAAACATTAAGAAATATGCCTTATGATTCATTTTTGTATATATTGCACATTTATTTTTTCTCGTTATCTTTTCTCTTCGCCTTTGTGGTAAAATTCTTTTAGGTAGGGAATGCAACTAATACATTCGACATATTGCCTTATATTTGTTAGTGTTATATCACATCTATATCAAACCTAAATCCTATTCAAGTCTATATGTGCCTTACCTTAGTCAGATTGGTGTTCATATTAAAGGAATGTGGGCTACTGAATCTTGTGACACTCTAATATTAGTGTTTTAGTAATGCTGATATTTAGAAGTATTGCTTAAATTTTCCTAATCTGGTTTGTTCCTTTTTGCATTTCTGCTGATTAGACATCAATTGTCATAACCCTGACTTAATATAATTTCTTTCAGACTACCGGTTTCTTATAAACATGTGCAATGCCTTGCAATGCGTTGTTAAGTTCTTGTTGTCATATTGAAGAAAAGATCTCTTTCTCAGGGATGAAAATGTGTATCCTGATTGTAAGCTTGATAGTTGTTTCTAAAAAGCAGACACAAGGTATTAACAAATTCAGGAACTGGTGCAAAATTAAATGGATGACGAGGCATATGCTGATATCTGTTTTCTGCTTGATAATTTGTTCAATGATTTTCAATAGATATTGACGTTGTAGATTCGAAGGCTTTGGAAGCCAAATTTAAAGACAAAAAGCAGTGGCTATCAATTATAAACTGAGTGTGTATAAACTATAGTCATTTCTGTTCTATTTGTTTCTGTAGCACAATGACTTAGCTTGACAATGCTTGAGCTGGTATTTCATCTTGCTTAACACCGATGCTGTAGGACCTTTCAAGATTAATGGAGTACCTCTAAGACGAGTAAATCAGGCTTATGTTATTGCAACATCCACCAAGGTCGATATATCAGGAGTCAATGTGGACAAGTTTGATGACAAGTACTTCACCAAGGAGAAAAAGAAGACGACCAAGAAAGGGGAAGGTGAATTTTTTGAGACTGATAAAGAGGTCTGTGCTTGCACCAATACATTGATTAATTACAATCATGCAGTTTGTATGTTCATTATCTTGCTGATGCTTCTTATGTTCTCTTCAAATATATAGGAAACCAAGGCACTCCCCCAGGAGAAGAAGGATGACCAGAAGGCCGTGGATAGCCAGTTGATAAAAGCCATTGAAGCAGTGGAAGATTTGAAGGTCTACTTAGGTGCAAGATTTTCGCTTAGGTCGGGAATGAAACCTCATGAGCTCAAATTCTAGAAACAAAAAGGGATCTCTCGATTTCTGCTCTGTTACATTTATATTTTCAGACTAGTTGGTCTATCTACTCTTGACTGTGAAGAAGGGCCTTGGACTTCTGTTTCATGCTTGTCTTGTGTTCTGAGGGAAGAACTCCATTGTTCATTTTCATGAAATTAACAGATGTATGCATCATTAGCTCTTGGTTTCAGTGCAAGTGATCTGATGTGTTTGGTCATTTTTACTGCCTACTTTTTTTAGTGCAACATTGGGAAACTAATAGCTAATTAATTGCTTAATCGATGAAAAATGTGTGATCTTTATCTCGGGTAAATATATCAAGTTTGGAATTACACTGCAACCATTTATTGATTTTTCATTACCCCCATCGCATGATCGATTTATAGTACTCCGAGAAACACAATAATCACAACTCCGTATAAGAAGCACATATAATCCAATGATTTAACAATGATCATTGTTCAGTTTCTTGAATACCATCAGTTACGATATTACAGCACTCTGATAACACCCAATGTTCTAAAAACAATGTTGAAATGATTTCCCTAACTTGTTGCTCTCTTCAATATTAACTGATAACCATGGAGTCACCAGACCTGAAATGCTTGTTTAGGTACCATGCTGAAGACAATCGCTGGGCAGCATATTTTCTCAATCAGTCTCCGAGACATCAATATACCCAACCACGACTAAAAACATGAGGCAAAGTTGAGTAGGTAAAAAAGGAGGCCTTACAGCTACAGTGGCCACAGGTCCTTCCCCTCAATAATATGCTTTCCTTGGGTTGTTCTGCATTAGGACATCAAAATGTCAGGTCATTTGGATCAAATATATACAACAGAAACCATCACTTATAAGTGAGGAAAAGGAGAAGGGTTTTTACCAGGGGGTTTGGTCTATACCGATAACCAAGCATCATCCTTTTCTTATACTGCTCATAAATATCATCATCAGGGTTCACCTCACCAGATTTTTGTGCACCAACACCTAGATTGTCCTTCTTCACTTCTCCTGCCATCACTGGATCTGCTCGTCCACGTTTGTCACTGCCAAGTCCCTCACCTGCAAGTATAAATAGTAAAAAAAAAAGAAATCTTTGTTGGCTTTGGAAGACATGATAGCTCTATTCGACTCAAAAATAGTCCAACCCAGGACGATATGCATCGTATAGCAAAAGAAAAAATGATGTGACTAACGTTGAAGCTCTTCAACAGCCTACCATGTGGTTGACAAATTAAACAATAGATTACAACTTGTTGCAGATCATAACAATTTGTTCGTGAGCTACTGATTTCTCGACAACAATAACACAAATCTAACATCAAGGGTCATCAAGAGAAGAAATACATCAGTTGAAGGAACATTAGCTAAAATGCATTTGGTTGAAGCAACCTTCGCGGCAGGGATGTCTACATGGAAAATGTGACAAACTGGCAGCGGATAGCCAATATAATGTCCAGCAGAAGTGAAAAATAGAAACAATTATATATTCAACCATACCTTCTCTCCAACCCATTTTGGACAGAAGTTTGTGCCCAATGTTGTCAGCCTGGATTTTAGCTTTCTCTGCAGCCTCTCTAGCTGCTTTCTGTGCAGCTACATCATTACAAGATGACAGAAACTTCTCCAACTCGTCTGGTGGAATGAAATCACCCATGTGATGACCCTTTTTGATGTGAGCTATAAACACAAGATAAAAAAGAAAAATATTAGGATTGTCTTAGAGCTCAAGGTCCTTTTTTCTAAATTACAAGTTAGATAGGGATGAGAATATTTCATGCACAATTATGTTAGATTCCATAGAATGTTAAATCACAAGCATGAGGAGCAGCAGCTACTATTAACAATAATTGTACACTTTATGCTTAGTTAAGATTCCACTTCAACATTCTCGGGGATAATTAATCATATAAGCAATAGCAGAGTTCAAAATAGTACCTTGAAGAGAAGCAGGTGGTGGCATTTCATCCTTTGACTGCTTTGGTTGCTTCATTCTCTCTTCCTGTGCAGCCTTCTTCATGTAGAACTCCATCATTGCAATAGGATCTGCAGCTGGAGGCTCACTGGATTCACCTGTTACAAAAACATTTATAAAAAACCAATAAAACAAAGTTCAAACGATAAATTTATAAATGGAACACAAGAGAAATGGTGGTCGTAAATAATGAATAATGAATATGATTCTCTGTTCACAAAAGCCATAAAGATGCAAAAGCAGAGGTCTTGAAGTATGAACAATACATTCATTACAATAATTTTCGTGGAACAATCTTGTGCCCAAAAAACAAAGAAATGAATTAAGAGCCCTTACATTGTAAAGTCCCAGTCCAACAGAGTTCATTGAATTATTTAAACATGGTGTAAGGAAATAATAGTTAAATGTCCACTAAATAAAAATGTGAGAATTTCCTACAAAAGAATTGCAAGGTATGCACAATTAGAAAGTGCTCTAAAAGTGATATGAAAAATCATAAAACAATAAGAAAGGACATTGCAGTCCTAAGATCATTGGAGGCATATCTCTTCGCATGTAAGTGAAAGGATAGAAGATTGTGATAATGCAAAAGCAATGATGAAAAAAAATAACCATGCTGAATTTAATCGCTGGGTAATTCTATCAAATCAATATGACAAATTTAGAAAGTCAGGTCAAGCAAAAGAAAACTCCTGCCTGATTGGATTGGTTGAACTCAACCCACAGGGCTGACCCATTTTCATCAACCCATGAGATCCATGTTCAAGCCTAACCAGACAATCTTTGACCTGTTGACTGGATATGTGGCTTCCCATCAAAAATGATTTTCCTATGGAACATGACAAACCCAAACCATCCAAACCTAGACACCCTGCTCAGGCTCTATTTCCTATAGATAGATTTGGTTTTGGAACCTTGACCTACTTTCATGATAGAACTATATGTATCCCACTGACTGCCACCCTTGAAACAACAGCATCAAAATTTACTGGATCGGAAAATACAAGCTGAGAATACCATAACTAGAGGATCTTCCAGAAGAGCCAGATGCCTCATAAGATCCATACAAAGCCGAAGCAGGAGTTTGGTAATTAGAATTCCGTTGGATAGTGCTCCTTTGAGGTCCACTCAATGCTCTAGAAGTTGAAGTGCTTCCTCTGGCTGCCATAAGGAAAAGTTAAAATCAGTGTTTTTACATAAAAGATTCATAAAAGGTAGATGTCAGACACCTAAACCCTAAACCACTCCGAATTCATAAAAGTTGGAGAAACAGGCACACTGAGGTTATTGACCAGAATTGGATGTCGTAGACTCATTAGATCGTGCAAGAGATTTTTCCTCTTCAAAGAGCTGATACTCGTAGTATTTATAGTCTGAACAACTTGAATCAAACAAAAACCTGCAGAAATCCATGTTACCTATTTGCATACCATCCTCATAAAATAAATAAATACTTATAAATAAATAACAAACTTCACTTTGCTTCAATCACATAAATAGAATGATTGAAGCAAACTAATAATGAACTTAAGCTCAACAGGAACACGATAATACAAATAACAGGCACAATATAATTTATCCAGTGTCAGCTTCTCAAAGTATCTGCAACAGTATCTGTGTTCCCTGTTCTCTCTTCTCTGGGAATCCAAAATTATTTCAATATTTGAGCTAATCCTTAAAGACAGACAAAATTACCCAGCGCATGCATGTAAAAGAAGCATCAAATGAATGACCAAGCCTGACACCAAGTGATATAACAAATGGTATTAAATTAGACTTATAGAAGAAGAAGATCCAGAGTTGTAAAGGCAGATGTAAATCAATGATCTTAAAACTGAAAAAATTTGGGAACTCATACTTGAAAGGTGTATCTCCAGGATTCCTTTGGCGTGTGACATGCTCAAACTGTCTTCCATTCTTTGCCACAAAACTTGCTAACTTATCTGCGACTTTCTTGACTGCTGGATCACTTGGAGGGGATGGAGCTGCATGTTACTTAAAGAACAGATTAATATCAAGAGAATGTACAAGTGAATGCAAATTACTGTTGTAGCAGGAGTGCCACATTTCGATTTTTTCAATCAACAGCCCTTCCACCAATGTCGATAGACAATTAAAAGGCAAAGGGTACATTTAGTAAAAGAAGAAGGTACATGAAGCTACTTCCTAGGAAAAAAACAACAGAGGCAACTAGTGACAAAATATCACGATTCTCTTATTCCCATAAAAATACACTATGAATAGTATGATGAATGTAAATAAATAAGTTCTGATAATAAATAAGAACAGGAAAAAACATCCAATTTAAAGAACTAATAGTTGCTTGACACCCCTCTAAGTCTTAATTATAATCACAATAACCACAATTTGTTCCTAACTATAATCACAATGACTGCAAAATCCATATTCGTTTTTGTTTCTCAGGCCTTCACACAATCAAGGTAACTATACAGTAACACATAGAAAAAACCTATTAAACTAAAATGAAAAATATTTCAGTTGTTAATTAAAAACAGACAAGCCGCATATCAAATGTTAAGAATAACTAAATAAAAGAAAGTGAAACCATATAACTAACTTCATGCAAGTAGCAGAAGCTTATTCAGGTATAAATGAAATTGAAAAATACTGTTTATTGTAGGTACAGCTGTAGAATCATACACTTTTCAACATGTGAACAACAAGTCAATCACAAAAAATAACAGAAGTAGACAATGCAAATGTTTGATTTAACGTTAAGAACATTTCATTCTCATTCTTGATAGTTTTTAACAGCAATAACTAGTGAAGTTTCATGCAATTCACATTAAGCTGATTATTTCACAAATAAGTTATGTACAAATGAAAAGGAAAATGACAAGAATAACACAGTTAGGTAGAAACTGGAGGCAGTTGTCTTTTACTCTCTGTATAACATTTTTTTAGCAAGGAATAAGATGCAGAAAACAACACATTACCAACATCCTGCTGTTCCGAGGAGGTATGAATGCTATCTCCCTGACTGAACTTCTGGCGCTTAACCGGTTCATCTCCAGATACAGCTTCTGCTTCTTCAGTTTCTTCCTCTTCATCAGCCACAAACTTAACCGGCATCGTGGCAACCTTTGCCTTCTGCTTCAAACTGAAGGCAAGCTTCCCACCAGAGGCCATTGTGCTGCCCTTCTTTGTATCATTCACCTTAACATCGAGTGGCCTTTTGCTAACTATAACAGAAGGCTTCAGATCAATGGAAGGGCCGGCCAAAGTGCCAGATTTAGATTGATTAGCTGCTGCCGCTGCCGCCCTTTCTTGCTGGAGTTGCTTGAACCTCTCCATGAACGATCCATCGTTCACAAACAGACCTGAACCATCTCCTTTTTCCATTGCCGGTTTCTCTTGAAGCACTCAATACAAATCAAGAAACCTTGAACCCAAAAGCTGCATCCTTTAAGCTCCAATTAGAAGAGTGCTTACACAACAAGCATCATCTAATCTTCATCAATCACGAAACCACAGGGGAAAGAAAGGATAAAATAAAGCTTGGGCTAGGGTTTCGTCCGTCCTTTAGACGCATAGTCTAAAGCTCGCGTCTTTTGCACAAGAACCGATCCAGATAAGGGGGCTCCAACGGAGACCCTAATCCGCAAGCCAATTGATGGGAAAACTTTGGGGCAAGACGTAATCATCGCTATCCCTAATGATCTAAAACTCCGAGATGGGAAAACAAAAAAAAAAACCGATAGAAATCGAGCAAACAATTGCGCGAAGATCTCTCTTTCGCGTACCTCAAATCTGCAACGCCTTCAACTACCAAGCACAGAGGAGAATACAGTCACGCAAACTGATCGAAAAATCCCTAGAGACACAGACAGAGGGAGGAGGAGGAGGACGCTGGACTGCTATCGGCGGGGGAACGAAACCAACAGAGAAAAAGATCGGGGATGGAGACGGGAGCGAATTGGGGCAGTTGATATACGTGTAAGATTCGATGAGGTCGCTATGTTTGCGTCCGGTTCGATCACTACAATCCATGGCGATTTCGGCTCGGACTATACGAGCACCAGCCCAACCCAGCCCGGTAATTAAGCTAATCTCTAGCTTTAAAATGTCGTTAATATATGATTTATATTGAAGTTGATATGAATGTAATGATTATATTTATGGATATATATCCATCCGATAAGGCGATATATAACAACGGAGAAACGTGACGGTCATGTTGTTATTTACGCATAACGTTCCCTGCCGTTTTATATGTGAAGTGCTTTTAACGCCTCCACCTCCCGCCTTCGGTCTGCCAACATCCGTCGCCGCGGAATTGGAGGTCCGGGGCGACAGAAGAAGAATCCGCGTTAGGGTTCCTGTGTGCCGATAGTTGCGCACGGATTAGGGCTCGGTCGAATCGAACAAGCCAAACGTGTTGGGAAAAATTCGGGATTGGAGAGGATCGAGGCTCGTCTCGACGTGAATCTCATCCTCCGGTTCCGTGGGGCGATCGCGATGGGATCCGCGAAGGGGAGACCCGTGCGTCCGAGCTCGGGCGTGCTGCTGGCGTCCGACGGCTCCTTCAGTGCCCTCCTCGATCTTCCGTCCGACCAGGCCGTGAATCTCCTTCACCGGCTGCCGGATCCCAACGCCGTCGCTTCCAGTGGCGAGATGCGGCGTCTCTGCCTCCCGCCGAGGCCTAAGGCGGAGCTGCTGGACTCGGCCGGTCTCCGGCTGATCGCGCAGCGGTCGGCGAAGAGGAAGGAAGGCGAAAAGAGCAGGGGGGAATCTCCAGCAAAAAAGAGCAAAAGGCGCTCAGAAGAAGGGACTGCGTGCGGAAAGAAGCTCCCTTGCGTTCACGTCCGCGCTCGCCGAGGCCAAGCCACTGATAGCCACAGCTTAGCGGAGAGAGTATATAAACACCTCTTGTTTACTCACTAGTGCTAGATAATACGTTTCGATTAACTAGTAGTCTATCTGTAACTTTCTTTTGTTCTTAGTCAGTCGTCCTTGAACTTTTTTTCCTCTTATTCTGATGAAATACCAGGCAATAATTATCTAATTGATTTCAATTTTAGGCAAGGAGGGAGAAAATAAATGCTAGGATGAAAGTTCTCCGAGAACTGGTCCCTGGATGCAGCAAGGTATGTTTTCTTATTTCTTAATCATGTAATTATTATTACCACTAGTCTATACTTCTCTCAGTCTAAATACTCACACATCTAATTGTGTTTGAAAAAGCATTTTAGTACTTAGGTGAAATGGCAGAACTTGAGGACTATTTCGTATCTCAGATCTTAAATCATATCCAGTATTAGCTGGTAAATTTTGGAGCTTTCTATTATATTGTATGTGACACTTTGCAATGGAGGTAGGGGTGTAACCATTATCTCAATGATTTGGAGAACTTGGAATGATTTCTCAATCTGATGACAGAGCTGAATGGCAGCTATATGCCACCAACTCATCTAGGAGTATGCATTTCATCACTTCCTGATGGGCATTAATAGAGATTTATTAACCTCATCTGTGCATTAGGTTTAATTTATAGAACTTGAAGCTCGAAAGACTAGTTCATCCCTGATGCAAGATTTGTAGTTTGTGAGTAGTACTACTTAGATCGGTTGCCAAAAGCTTACATGGATACTCACTAGTAGTTAGAATTTCTAAAGGATCTGGGGACCATAAAACTCAGACTAATTCTTCTCTGCCTCAGTGTTCAGCTGCATTCATGAATGTTTTGAGTTGAAAGGTTATTGACTTGAATCTTTGATCAGTCTTCTGGCTGATGATCATGGTCATTGAGAGACAAAGTTATGGGTTCCAGAGCTCCTATTAAGTCTAAGTGAGCATGGTACTCAAAGGCATGAAAATGGGCTTGAAAACCACAAACTTAGAATGTGGCTCCTATACAAAGAGATGAAATATGGCTACATGATATTGAATCCAATCTCTTACTGTGACACAGATATCAGGTACAACTTTATTGTTGGATGAAATCATCAATCACATAAAATCTCTCCAATGTCTGATTGAGGTATGTGACTTGATTCATTATCCATTCTACAACTACTACTTTCTCTCTTCTGTGTCTTGATTGTGCTTATATGAATATTTCATTTCTTAAAAGTCTTGTCATCTTGTCCCAATAATACTCTCCTCTAGTTGGACATGCATAAAGTAACTGTGGGGTCTAAAGTGTTATATCATGACAGATGAATCTCACACCCCCATTTATGACTGTCCAACTAACAGAAGAAAGCTATTGGAACAAAATCTAGGTCATACATTAAGACTTCAAATTTAACAAAAATTCCTGTGCTGTAGTATTTAAATTACTGTCTAAAGTTCCTTTTCACTATGGTTTTTCAGTTATTGTCAATGAGACTAGCAGCAGCGAACTCAAGGATCAGCTTTAGTGGCCCTGATAGTTCCTCATCAGTGGATGTAATGCATCTTTTCCTCTTTTCTCTCCTTACAGTACTAATGTTTTGGAGGTGCCAAAATCTGAGTAACGGTCATATAGTATGTTTGCTTTGAGTCTTGACATAGCACAGCATTTCAATAAATAAATTTATTATAATACTGCCGACAAGGCTTTCATTTGGCGAATCATGTGAAACAATGGTTTTCAAATGTAATCATTGCAACTGTAATTTATGACTAAGTATCCATCACATTAATCTTGTAGCACCCCATATTTTACTCTGAATTTAAGTATGATGTAAAACATGGTTACTACTAATGGCAGTGTGGGTGGCTAACAGTCAATAATGAGAGGAGTAGGAGGGTCGGAATGGAACCGATAGAATGGTCATCATATGGAGGAAGGAGGCAGCCACAACAGCATATCTGGCACATCAATTTAGTGCACCCCCAACAAACATCAAGAGCCTCTGAAGGGGAGACACCCACTGCACCGATCATGGGACCTTACTCTTCCAGTGCCATCAATTTGCTTCTGGTAACTGCTGCCCTCCTGTTTCAGCTTTTTATGTCACAAACCAAATTGAAAGATTACAGTACACTAGATAAGGGGTTGGTACGACGTTGACATTTATTTAATAAAGATGTGTCTTAATGTATTCTGACTGCTGTGGTCCCAAATTTCGGTGGCATTGTTGAGCAAACATCTATAAATGGTTGCCAAAGTAATGAGGCCTTCCTGTTGCAATTGTCCTGCAGAGGATCCCACTTAATTAATATGGTCTCCATGGTCCCCTTTCTGTGTATGTTCACACCCTCACTAGTAGAACTACCTTGGTCTCTATGTTCCTATTTCTGAGCATCTCCATTCTGTCCTTCACTAGTAGAACTATCCTTTATTTCCAAGTGGCCTAGGTCTTCAAAGAGGCTTGTTCTCCCCATCCATATCTCATAAGTACAGGTAAGATGAATTTAAGTTCTTTATCAACTATAACTTGCATACTTTTTTGTGACATCCAGTTTCATGTCAAGATTTGCTAATTCTTTCTTCAGAATTGTATCTTCTTCCACTTGGGTAGCTGCTTTACTTCTTGCCTGTTTATCATTAGCCATCAGGACAGCTGGTGTGCATTAAGCTTGATGTTAACTTGCACTTGAACAAGACAGCCTTCACTGTCGTAGTCAGGTCCTTAGCTACCTGATTTAGACTCTTGATATAATTCTGTCACACTCTAGGCCCACATCTTTGGACCATTCTAAATGACATTAATTTTGTCAGATGAGTTTTTTTTTACATCTTGGATGTGGTGATTCGTTAAAACTGGTGCATTGATGTGATTGTTCGACAGCTCTGTAAGTTGTGATGAGGTGACTTAACATGCCTCAATGCTAATTGATGGTGTATGGACCCTGTTAGCACCATTCTTGACCAACTCAAGGCAAACTCACTTTAGATTTTTTACTCCATGAACCTTTTGAATAAATCATTACATTAAACATTACCCTTTGCTTAGTTATATAAGAACTAGTAGCATGTGAGATATGTTTGGAAAGATACCTGATTATGTGAGACTGAAAAATTCATGTATTTGTGACTTTTATACCATACCAATGTACCGATCAGCTGTTGATACGGTATGTACCGAGCTGTACCGAGCATATCGACACACAGTATACTAATGTGTACCGATATACCACCCATACCGGTCCTCTATTGGACCGGTATGTACCGCCGATACTGAGCGGTATGGTACGGTATTGCAAACTATGAGTTTTAACAGATAATAATACAATTACATATTAGTAAAGATGTTGTATGATCTTGTAAGTAGAGATGAAGGAATATTCTCGTGCAAGATGAACACCAAGCAGACCATTTACATTTCATTGGAACTACTACTTCTTTGTAAGCATTATAATTAGTTGGATCCCTAAAGCAGAACATGTCTACTAGATTGTGAGTTTTAACTAAAAGCAGTGAAGAAGAACAAACGAATTGCATGAGACTCACTAATAAGGTCAGGGGAGAGTCAGTATATGCAGCATTGTCCTTATTTGTTTCTGTGATTTGAACCCTTATCATCCAGGTCATGTACCAGCAATGAGCAACTTATCCTTGTACCAAGGCTCAACTCTTTTCAAGTGAAAAATAGTGTGTTAATGTTGAAGGAACCTATCTAAGAAAGCAAAAAGATAATGGTAAAATTAGTTCACATTCCTTACGGATACATCTTTGATTGAAGAACAAACAACCAGTAAGAGCCGGTACAAGTACCAACCATTATCTCCTCTTGCATCATGGTATAATGTAGTATGAAATTCCATTTCTATGTTCGCTTATACAGATTTGTATTCTTATTCTACACATTCTGCATCTGTTGATTTCTTCATGCCATGTACTCTCTATTTGCTAATCAAATGGCAATCCTATTGATCTCTTAAGTTTAGATCATATTTCACACTGGCTTTTGTTCTTTTACTATGACCACACTTTTGTTGCCTTTGAAATAGTAATTCAGCACTTCAGCCATCTGAAGACAGAACCTGAAGATGCCATGGTGACAGCATGATTTAATAGCAGCATGGTGGTATGTTAATGACAGCAATAAATTACTCAGTTCTCCATGTTATAAATGTCTAGAATTTTTCTTCCATTTTTCTTTTTTTTCTCATATCGGCGGCACTCTTTTGGACAAGAAAGGAATCAAGCAATCCACCTATGATTTTATAAAGTATGATATTAGAGATGTTGGTTTTGAACCATAAAGCCTGGATTAGGCTTATTAATATGTTTCAAGTGCTTCTAAATCTGAATCATTGTCCTTTGAAACCCCCCTCGCCTTAATACTTTTGCACTCGTTGCCTTGGCAAGGGGCTATAAACATGCATAACAAATTTCAGATTAGCATGATAACTAGAAAGAGTTTTTTGGTTTCAATCGATGCCTCCAGTCTCTAACCATCTAAAGAATAAAAGTAGTTAGATTTTAAATGTTAGTTTGATACAGGTTTCAAGTTAAGATGTTGATTTGTGTACTGCCCAAAACAAATAGTCTACGAAGCGATGGAGTTGTATTCTTTAGTATCTTAGTCGGATCAGAAGCATACTGTGATTCTTATTTTAAGGAGCTGTCAAGCCAGGTTTAAAGTTCATCATTTAAACATTCTTAAGATCACAATCTCCACTATTCCACTGGTTCCTAAAAGTTTCCATGCCAGTTAATTCAGCTCAAATATTATTTCAATTCCAGATATCTTTAAAAAGTATGATTTGCTCAGAACTAGGAGTTCTTAAATTACATATTGTTAAGTTTTGTTGAACCTATCTAGCAACATTTGTTAATTGAGCTTGGAAGCCATAGTAACAGTTGAGAACTTGATATAAATACAGATGCATTACTGACATTGGATATTATACAAATCCAAATGCCTATAAAAGACCAGATCCAGATCGAGCCTAATTTTCCAGAATTTTTCAGGTGTCATTCGAGGGGCGTGCCTATAACAATGCCTTGCATTTCTGATGCACATTCAAGACACACCATCTTGATGCTGTTCATATGATTTGGAACTGCATCATATGATTTCTTGCATTTCTGATACACAGTTCTTCCTCATCAAATCCCTTATCTGCTGGACCTAGAAAAGAAATATGATGCTTGTGTTGAATGGTTTTGCTGTTAATGTCTTTTGTTTCATCATCATAATCGTTGAAATCCATACATTGTAATGTATTTATTGAGCTTCTTCGTGGGAAGGAAACAGGATGAACAAGTGATGTGCGGAACATGGTTCAAACTCTTAACTAGATTGAGATCTTTGATCGACCTCAGGATTCCAAGAGAAACACCCCCAGTAGTCAGCTCATCTGTGTTGAACTTGGAACCAATGTTGAGATCTCTTCTTCAGAATCTATGCATGTCAAACAATTGTTATTTCTTGTGTATTCCTGAAGTAAACTGAAACCCTCATCTCCTTTAGTCTTGATCAATACTTCAACGTTACCTGAAGCAAATGCCCAATAGATGCTCACTCCCTAAGATGTTGTCCGGATCAGATCTAATTCTTTATAACTTGTTTTCATCCTGTTGTAATCCTCAAGCAATCAAGAGATTTCACCCTGTTCCAATAACCTTTGTTGCTTGCAACTCCTTCCCCTAGTCATTTCACAGTTTCTCTGCTCCTCACCAAGAACATCTTTCTCCATCGTTAAGCTTTCAAGCTTATCCACAAGTCATCCGCTTCAACAACATCGACCTTGTCTTGCTTTCCCTTCAGGGAACTGCTCGGTTGCTTGAGGTTTCTTCTTGACAACATTGCTCTTCAGCGAATCTCTCTTTTATTTTGATGTACAAGGAGACACTTGTGTTTCTTCCATTCATCCCGATGTCATTCTTGGCGTCAGGAAGCCTTCTCTGTTCAAGTTCTGATGCTGATTGGAACTCGAAAACTAACTGGCTGCAGAAGATGCTGTGTGTGAGAAACCCTGGTCTTTTTCTTCTTGAATAGAGGCAACAAGCATTGTGTTTAGTACACACCTGTACTTTCAAATCATCAGAATCACCTGAGCGATCAAGTTTGGTGCTCCAACCAGGTTTCCTTGGACAAATACCTATAATAGTAGCAACAGGTGCAATGATGTGAGATTTTCTATGCTTAATGATGCATGGAAAAAGAGAAATCCTGGTTATCAGAGCACAGGGGAAGCATATACTTCATGTGTGATTTAAGATAGGATGCAGAGTAGCTCAAAATGGAAGATATAAAGAGAAAACTAGAAGCATGAAAGTATGTATAAGAAAACTACTGTGCAAATTGCAAATAAACTAGCATAGCTCATTAGTCTCTCCTTCGTTATAGTCCTCAATTTGTAAGCTATCTGCTTATACAAACTTTTCTCTGTCATGATAATGTTGACAGCTGACAGTTCCTGATGCTACAGATGAAAAATCTGAGCGGACTTTGAGGCATAATGACAAGATACTTCTGTATAGTATCCGCAACATAGCGTTCAATTTATATCCAACAGCAATTCTCTCCAACCTGCTAGCTAACCTTCCACAATGCCCATCCAAGCATGCTTCTCATCAAACAATGATACGATTATACAAGAGTTTATCAAATTCGTGTCTTGTTGCCAGAAAATTCATCACTTCTTTTCGTCATGAACCAGAAATGGTCCTGTGACCACGGATTTCAGGATCGGATCAGAGGATTGCTGGAGAAACCTAAGCAAAACTTGCGCGGCAGGGGGGAAAAAAGGCAAACGGTCTACGAGATTAGAGATCGACAGAGGAAGGCGTTTCGATCGGCATCCAGAAGATACGGAAACAGTATAACAATTCCTACAATTACCAGTAGGGCGGCAGGTCGAGGTGAAGAAGATCTCAGCGAAACGCGAGTCGTAGAACCGAGACTAAGGTGGGATCGGAGACGAGCCAAATCCGTCACTAGCGCAGGCGAGGAAATCCCCAGACGCAGGAGTGATGCCGCCTTCTCCTTCCTTATTTGCTTCAATGAATTCCCTCGTCTTTTTCGTTTGATCTTTTCCGCCCTTTATTGCATCGTTCGGTGGAAAGAATCATACAATCTTGCATACCCGCTTGTCGATTGGATCAACGCTACGTGATGGAACGGTGTCTGTTTGGGTCGAACGAGGCAACGTGGCAGCATGGTTTGCTGTTTAAAGTGCAATGCATTTTGCGGCCCTACACCACATGTTTAGTTAACCTACCAGCCTTGTCTATGGTGCATGCAGCGGGTTGATGGGACCCACCTGTGGAAGAGTCGCCGCAAGGGTAAACTCGCGTTTTGTTTGCGAGGTCAACACGTTGAGACTGATACGTGTCAGAATCCTGGAGGTGAACGGTACCGGTGGCTGCACGAGATTTTTCAGCTGATAAAAGTTGTAGAGATCCGCACGGCTTTCCCTTCCATATTCGAGACCAAAATATCGTCACATTGTCGCCTCTCCGTATCGCCTCTGCTTCTTGTCCTCCGGTTCGGACCCTTCCCTCCTTCCTCCGTCTCGCCTTCTCCCAGACAAGAATCCATCTCAAAGTTGTTAAGATCTCGAAGGTATTCTTCTTTAATTAGATCTCGTTCGCTTCGATTTCTTCCTCACGATTCGATTTTTTTCCTATTTTATTGGGTCTGTATACTTGGGAAATTTTGTAGCGTCGATGCATGTTGGGTCTTTTCGCATGAACCAGTAATTTGTTCCTTTTCAATCAGGAACCCTTTTAATCTATCTCGAAGACAATAAGATGGAAAGCAATTTCATTTTTTATCGGGAAATACGCGTGGATCCTCAATCTTTCTTGTTGTTTGTTAACCTATGTTTGGAATTTCTTTCACAGGCGATCCGGGCAAAACCTATTGAGTTTGAGAAGTTCAAAAATGAGTGCACGGACGAACTTGGAGATGGTTGATTCCTCAGACTTCACCTTTTGCAAGGTGAGCCAACTAACTTTTGGGTGAAATGTGGCTTTCACACTGGTGAAAACTCATCCAATAAATGTATCAAAGTTCGCCCATTTAATTGTCATATTGAATCCTAAAACTTGTTTGCCGAGCCTAAAATGTTGAAGATTTGTAGGTTTTGTTGTTGATACTGTAGTGCAACAGTTTCTTAAGAAAGTTCTACGAATTTTAAGAATGTCTTATATCTAGGTTGGTTTACAAGCGGAAGATGGGAATTTAGAGTCTCCCAAAGCAATTCCTGATGTCCGGAAAATCATTCTCGAAGACAATCCTTCAGGCAAGGTGGGCACTGAGAATAATCTGGTGTCAGATGATAAGTCTCAAGGAACTGCAGGTTTGAAAGGGCAATCTGATGTATCTAAATCTAATATTTCAAGTGAAGTGGTTCCAACAAAAGTTGATGATAGTAAAAAAAAGACACAAAAGCCAGATGGAGAAGCGGACGATTTGGCACAGAAACAGAAGGCAAAGGTGAAGAATCCTGTAGGGAGAACAAAGGTTCCTTTTGAAAAGGGGTACAGCCAAATGGACTGGTTAAAGCTTACTCGCACGCATCCTGACCTTGCAGGTGTTTATTTCCCCTGGATGGTTTATTGATTCGTGTAAATTGGTTTGGTTGATGAATTTCAGTTCATGCTAGGAGCTTATCTTTACTCTAGAAAAAAATAGTGGTTTAGCTCTGCAGCAATAAGATAAATATTTAAGTTTGAGAAATTTTAAACAATTATAATGATATAATGGTCAAATTTTAAGTACTTCTAGAAAAATATTAGTTATGGAAAAGATTTTGAACCAACTACTGTTGTAGCTGTTGCTGCACCTTCCACATGACTGTTCTCATTGACACAACGTTAACAGTAATTGACATGAGAAATGGTGGATGATGAACCATGGTCCATGATGTAAAATTCTTCTTTCACATGTTGTATTTAATTCTTCCTTTATTCCCCCTTTCATTTATTTATGAGCAGACTGTCATTGAATAAGATGTTTAAACCCAGAGTTAGTTTTCTAAATTAGGAGTCTCTAAACAAGCATTGGTGTGGATGCTAAGATGCAATGGCAGTAAATGGAGGAGATAATAAGTGATACTCAACTTAGTTATGTTGTTGGCCTCTCATTTTTTTAATCACCTTCAGCCCTTCATGCTCTTTGATAAATCCTGCATGTAGGAATCTCTTTCTCTGAATTATGAGACTCTTTAAGGTGTTTTTCTAACTTTACTGTTTCTCCACTTTGTTTCTGTCGATTTATGCTTAAGAAAGACTACTGTAAATATGGATTATTAGGATTTAGATGTAAAGGTCCACAACCTTTTGCTTCCTTCTGTTGTATGGGATTGACCCATGGCACTATTCTCTCAGCCATTACTCAACTGATTTCATATCTATCATCGGCTTTATCCATCCATCGGATGAGCTGCTTTCGTCCAGTAGTGCACAATGGTGAGTTTCATTGTATGTTGAATTTTTAATGATCCAAAATAAATTTCTCTGAATATTTGTGTCCTTGTTTCAAATGGCTAGAGACATATGTGGGCACCCTATTCAAATATATTATAGTAGTTACTAGTATGATGTTTCATTATTGTACTGGCAAGATAACAACTTTTTGTTTTTATCGTTAACAAACTAGATGATTCTGTGGTTCAAGAATTTTTCATGTATTGTCATAAACAAATTGCTTTTAAGTACATATTTTCAATCATATAAAATGCTTCTTTTCTCTGTCATTCCACTTTTATACAATTAAATGTATTTATCATCTTTTAAGTTCTCTCAGGCACTATACCAATCTTTGATGTTGATATCTTTATTATTCGGATTATTCTTTCTAGGACTAAAGGGGCAATCAAACCAAAGGCTTATCTCGATGGATGAAGTTAAGCAACATAAAACTGGTGGTTCAATTTGGACTGTTCTAAAAGGCCATGTTTACAATATCTCCCCCTACATGAAATTTCATCCCGGAGGTATGCATCTTTACTTGATTCCGAAACAGACAATTGTTTACAAGTTCTAGTAAACTCATATAATTTTCATTGGGAAATATTCTTTTAGAAGGAAAATTTGTAGTGTCAGTATCACTGAGATATTCTTTATGAATTATAACAATATATTTCTTTCTAAAAATAGCAGCTTGTGTTGCTTCTTTTGGAGGAAAGCCTATGACTTGTGGTGCAGATATACTGAGCTATACCTTTATGACTTATACCTAATATGGTTCTTTCCAAAAAGCAGCTTCGTGCACATAAAATTTTGTTCATTGCAAAACAGAAACCAAAAGTTTTGGTTGTTAGGAAGGGGAATATAAGTGTAATAATGCATTTATTGAGTGCATGAACGTCCAAATGATGAATTGGCAGCATTGGAAAAGTTACTTAGAAGTTTCTCCTTCCACTGAACTGTTTCTAAAAATCTCATATGATAACTAATACCCTCAGGATTTAATAGCCAAATCTGAATTTCAATTATCAAGATTTATTTTCATGGTGTTTCGGAGTAACACGGTGCCAGGATGTGCTAGATACCTATATTCATGATGAGGCACATGTTATGACTTTCAAGACAACTTGACAATAAAAAAGAAAGTCATCAGTTGCCTTGGAGGGTAACATCTTAGCTGATGGCCATAAGATGGTCCAAAGTATGGTGATATCCTAGTTAATCCCAATGTAGTCTTATATTAGAGCATAAAGTGCAGGTTTCTACTATCTAATGTTCGTAAAGATAAATAAGATATTTGCATATTCGGTGGGATAGATATGATACTATCACATTCTGTAGGGGTATCTTTTCTCGATGTTACAGTCATTCCATTATGATATAGATATGAATTCCAGTCATATTTACCTGCCCAATTAACAAATTATCCAGCTTATTGTAAAGAATAGAAAAAGGACCCACAAATTTTTTTTTCTGGTCATCAGAATAGTTGAACAATTCTTTTTATTGGAGAAGTAGTTGTCTTGCTGACATTAGCTTAGCTTCTGCTTGGTAGACAGTTTCTAGTTTCTACAGCTGAAGCTGAAAAAACTCCCACAATATGGACATTGATGAGGAATGTGCACCTGTGGACTTCCTTGTTTAAGTTTGTTTTGATAGTAGCACATTGACAGTCTTACATGATCAAGGTTGTCAAAGTCACTTTTCTACTTAAAATCGTAAAAGGGGTCACATACTCGGATCATAGAATCAGATCTTAAGATCATAAGATCCTACAATTTATTAGAAATTAATTTTAAGAAACATACACATACCTAAAGAAATTTATAACTATTTTTCTTTAAGATAAAGTAACTCTTGTATATTCTTACGCTAATAATTGTATTTTTATTAAAGATTTAAAGTGAATGCATAATCTCTTATTTAAATGATTATACAACAGAAGATTTCTAAGTTTATTTATTAAAACACAGTGCAACTGAATGAAGGCTGCATGGTTCCATAATATTTAACATTTGGATGCAGAAAATCGTCTAAGTTCACTGCAGAATTGTATCATGTTTTGTGTCGCTTGCTTTCTATGATAAATATAACTTGTGTCCTGAAAATGGTTATTATGTCTGGATACGGAGACTTGACTTCTCTTATCAAGTTAATCATGGATATCTTTGTTTTTCAGGTGAGGATATGCTTATGAAGGCAGCTGGTAGAGACTCGACCTCTTTATTCAGTATCCTTTTATCTATTATAGTTGCTTTCTTATGAATGTGACAATTTTACTGGGTATATGAATAAAAATAAAACATCATCCAGTGTAAAGAAAACTTGCTGTTGTTTAATGGCAGGTGTCTCGAACTAACAATTCTGTTTTAGCAGAAGAATGGAACAGTGCATGAATGCACTAGATGATGCCTCCTATTGCTGATGAGATCTGGCACATTAGATCAGTTCGCTTTACTATTAAAACAAACTCTCTCTTTTCCATTTTTGTTTATTTAATCAGTATGCTCTTCGCGAATAAAAGTATTTTTATCTCTCGCTCTCAAGTTATCTTTAACTTCCTCCTAGACAAATATCATGCATGGGTGAATGCTGAATTTTTATTGGAGAGGTGCCTTGTGGGAATATTGGAATATAATTGATGATGAACTCCAGAATTTTTCTAAACAAGTATTATTATATTTGCACCCCGGGGTTGCGATCTGTTCCAGGATCCGACCAGTTGGAGGTTAGCAAAGCAAGTTGAATACGTAGTGTCATTCATTTGCCTTGTATGTCCGTATTTCTTGCTTGCTACAAGCACAGTTCTCTTTTGTATTAGAATGACAATCTTTGTACTCGGATGTTGTTTATCCAAATCTTCATAGTGTACACTGGAGATGAACCGAATCGAGTGCATCTTGCATTGCATAAGAAGCCTTATGCTGGTGTCGCTTCAATGATATGATCCTAGTAATTGGTTGTTCTGGAATTTTCATGTCAAGATATATTTATATTTTACCATGATATTAAGTCATAGTAGTTTCTCATATTCTCTTTACATTAAAGGAGTGCATATGAATCCTTGTCACCAGTTATAAAGAAAAAAGCATCATCCATTAACATTCTTTTAAATGACATCTAAAGGTGCAGGGAAAGATTCCAGCAGCTGAGCATCCATCAAGCCCTATGCGCCGCAATGCAGGTAACATCTCACACCATTTTGCTGCTTATTGTAACCTCTCTCACACTGCTGCAACAGATGATTCCAAAGCATAATCTCTGTGTAACCTCTCTATTGTAACCTCTCTCACACTGCTGCAACAAATGCAGGTAACCTCTCACACCATTTTGCTGCTTATTGTAACCTCTCTCACACTGCTGCAACAGATGATTCCAAAGTATAATCTCTGTTTTTTTTCTGTCGGTGCTTTAATAAGCATGAAGGATAAACTGATGACAGCAAGCAATCATGCATGCATCTAGTGGCCTTGCTTCCACATTTTTCCATATGATGAGGCCAATGAATCAGCCGGCCACATGCATGCATATAGGGTGAGAAGAACAAGAGAGAGAGTTCATCAGACATAACAGAGGCAGTTGCATCTCGTTTCACCTCATTCTACATGCACGTCTTTACATAACCATAAGCATATCTATTATGTAGATATATAGGGACGGAGGTTTGCATGTCTACTATTTCCTCAGGCATTCACGGATGACTTTAGGACAAGTACTAAGGCCCCTGAAAGTCCAGTGTACACTGTCAGGTATGGCTCAAAGGTTGCACTTTTGCATACCCAAAAGAGAACGCACCTCACGACAACCCAATGCTGCTTGATGTGCGTATCGCCGGAAACCTTCTGCAGCCCATCGGATTATGGTACGGTGAAGTCCAGGCTTCGATCATGTTCAACGGCGTCAATGGTATGGTGAAGTAGAGCCGGTGACTCCTGCCGTTCCTTGTTTTGAGCCAGAGACCATTGCAACAACAGTCCCAACTCTCGTTCTTACTACTATTCGATTCACTAGTTGTATGCAGAAGTTTTCTCTAGTTTTATATGCAGTTGTACTGTATCTGATAGAGGGGAGAACTCTTGTTCTTCTATTTGATTTAAATAGATCTATGTTTAGTTTGGAAAGAAAAAAGTTAATTCTTTTTCTCATGTTCCTATTGAATAGGAGGAACGATCAAGAAATGCTCCTCTTCCCACTTCACTTTCTTAACTCCCAAGTAAACTTTACTTACTGGTATAGAATCATTGACATGAGCAATATCAATAATAAATGATTTGACAAGAGTTATTATAACTTCAACTCATTCTACCATCTAAGTGCTTTAACAGAACTATTAGAAAACATACTATTCTTGAAAAAAAAAAATATTAAAATACATACTATTCTTGAAAAAAAAACTACGATATGTCACAAATTATTTTTATTAACTTGACAATTGAGTCTAACCATAGCAAGTCTTACGGTAAAATTTTGTAGTCATAAAACTTGATTAGTGAGCTGTTATAAAATCAGTTTTTATAATACAATAATACATTGCTTAATATTTTTTATAAATTATCTTTTCAACTATTAAATATAAAGCGTAAAATGAACTTCCGAGAAAATTTACAGAATTAGCATATGAAAATACCATCATTTTAGATATAATTTCATATATATGAGAATATAATCTTTCATCATTTTTAGATATTTTATTATTTTCTTTATAACCTTTTAGTGTTAAATGTTTGGGTGTCATGCTAGAGTGATTCCATATTATATTGTAAGATTGAATGCTGTGACAAAATCAACGTATCGATGGAATAAGTGATATACTAAAATAAAATTTGATGTGTCGAAGGTTCGAACAAAGTATCAAAAGATTGGATAAGATATCAGAATAGTGTACAATTTGTCAAAAGCTTCATAAATGTATAGAATATATGGTTGATTTGTTAAAGTCTTAATCAAGGTCATTATGGGTCAATCTGAGTTAGTATTAGGTTAAAAAAATACAAACTTATCAAGAAAATCATTAGGCTTGTAATTAGACCTAATTAAGCTAGTTAAAAGGTCAAAACTATGACTTAAACTAGGTGATGGTACCGTTGGGCCTGGGAGTTATTATTGGGTTAAAATAATGTCAACTTATCAAGAAAGTTATTATACTTAAAATTAGATCTAATTGAGCTAGTTAAAAGGTCAAAACTATGACTTAAACCAGGTGATGGTACCGTTGGGCCTGGGAGTTATTATTGGGTTAAAATAATGTCAACTTATCAAGAAAGTCATTATACAATCTAATTGAGCTAGTTAAAAAGGTCAAAACTATGACTTAAACTAGGCTTAGGTGATGGTACCGCTAAGCCCAAGTGATAGTATTGCCTAAGTTAGTCGACAATCACTATTTGTGCTTTGTCAATCTTTTTGGTGATGGTGTCGCCTATGCCAACAGTAATATTGGCCTAGGCTAATGATAGTACTGTCAAAGTCCAGATTTGTAATATAGTTACAGTGGTAGTACTACCGAGTGCCGATGATAGCGTCACCTGTACCTTAAAATTTTAGAGATTTAAATTTTTGACTTTATTCTTGAAGACTTTTGGGTATCTAAATATCCTACTTGTTAATCGAGCATCCATTTGTGAGATAATAAAATGTTATAAACTCTCATTTTGAGCATAAGTTGAGTTTTCTCCTCCTTTTTATTTATTTATAATTCTAAATTGTAAGAGGTGAGGGATCTTATATAAAAAGAGAGTGTGAAGGTTATCCTTATAGCCTGAAATAGAAAAAAATAACAAGAAATGGATGTAGATCGAAAAGATCAAACTATTAGAAATTAGTTTATCTCTATTTACTTTCCTTTACTTATTACTTAGTTTTATTCTCTTTAATTGTAACTTAGGTCAACCGAATTTTTTAAATGTGTTAATTTATCGATTGAGTTTTAAAATATAAAATTACTATTGCACTAATTCACTCCCTCTCGATCTTAAAAATTAGTATCATAGTAAGATTCTCTCATTTTGATTAATACCTAGGAGAGAATAAATTATGTTTTTAAGCAATCAAGAGGATACTCTATCACATATCCTTTTATATTTAATGAGACGAATTATATCTATTAAAAAATAAAATAAAGATTCTTTTTTACTTTCTATTGATTTTGATTTATGGAATGTTATCGAGTTTGATTTTTAAAAATCTTCTAAATTGATAGATAAATGGAATGATTTAGAAAAAATATTTTTTTTTAAATGTTAAGTCTATGAATACTTTAGAAAAAGTATTCATAGACTTAACAGTAAATCTATATTTTTTTAAAAGTAAATCTATGATATATACACTCATTTTATGAATATTATCAATAAATTAAAAGCTCTTTGTAAAAACTATACTAATCTTGCATTGATGAGTAAAATCTTAAGGTCTCTTCCTAAAAGTTAAGATCGAAATATAAGGATAATCTAAGAAGCTAAAGGCTTAAATAATTTTCTTGTTGAAAAACTCATAAAATCTTTAATAACTTATGAAATAACATACAAAGTATATGATGAAGAAAAAGTGACAAATTATACTTAATAATTTTCATTTATGAGGTATTTGACTCTCTCAAAACTTTTTTATCACAAAAAAATTATTTAAACCATTTTATGATTTATACGATGAACTCAAAAAAGATTAGCAAGAAATATAGTTCACTAAAAAAGATCATGCATTACTTACTAATGAATTTGATATATTAAAAATTATACATGATAAATATACAACAATTTCTTACCACTTGAAAAGAAGTTACTTAAAAAATTATATACTTTAAAAATATAAAAAACACTTAATTGTGATGAATAAGAAACTAAAATATTGTTTAGAAGAATCAAATCACAGTAATAATATGATAGAATCTTTTTGAAAGGAAAATAATTTTATATGGTAAACGTTAGAAAATTTTAAAATTAAAAATAAATCGCTTGATATAATTATTGCTAAGTAAGATTATGTATTTAAAAAAGAATGTATTGGTAGCACATATCAAAAATCAACTAAATTTGTAAAAGAACAATACTATATATTTCTCATAAAGTTAAATATAATTTTTATGAAGAACTTGATAATTATAATTACACGTACTCTCTCAAAAAAAAATAGTTACAAAAATTAGTTTAGATTCCTAAAGGAACCATAAGTGATTTAAAGCTAAAAAATAAGAAAGATAAATCTAAAGATCCAAAATCAAATAGGTACCTAAAATAAATCTTTCTTTTTTTTTGTAGATTTATCTTTAAACAAAAACTAGGAGTAAAAGATGATGTTGAATGCTCAAGGTACATGACCGAAGATCCTACCAACTTTTCAAAATTTCTTAACCAAGATGAAGTATATATTATTTTTGGAGAATAATAAAAAAAAATTATTAGGATTGAAAATATTGATAACAAATAAAATCTCTTGTTTAAAGATATACTTTTGGTAGATAACTAGAAACACAAGAAGCATAAGCCAACTTTATAATAAATGATATAATATTAAATTTAAATCTCATACTTGCATCATAGAAATATCAAGTAATAAGAAATATATGATAGCTTTAAGATGTGATAATGTTTATACTATTTGATCTTAATTTTCATAATCGAACTTATTTTTTAATTTTGAATAACGATATATTACTTTGACATAGAAAATTAGGACATGTTAGGATGAAATTAATTTTTCAAATTGAAACTAAAAAACTTATAAGAGGAATATCTAAAATTAAATTTATTAAAAATAAAATTTATGATGCATGCCAATTAGGAAAACATATAAGGAGTAACTTCAAATCCAAAAACTAAATAAGTACCTCTAGATCATTATAACTATTTCACATGAATTTATTTGGATCTATTGATATTACAAGTCTAGAAAATAGTAAATATATTTTATAATTATTGATTACTACAATAGATATATCTATTTGGACATATTTTTTGATACATAAAAATAATTGTTTCAAATATTTTACTAAATTTTATAAACAAATTAAAAATAAAAAAATATTTTATGAATTTTTTCTATTTATAATGATCATGATAATAAATTTAAAAATCATACTTTTAAAAAAAATTATGATTTGAATGGGTAAGATCATAATTTTTCTATTCTAAAAAAATTATAAAAAATAGAGTTATTGATATAAGAGCTTATAAAAAATGATAAGAATCATACTTACTTAATGAATATAGTGTACTCAAATACTTTTAAACCGAAGACATTAATATTATGCTATGTTACGAATAGAGTTATTATAAGAGTCCATCTAACTAACCAAAACAATTTAAAACTTGATTCATTTTGATTCCAAATTCTATAAAATCGGAACTAAGGATTCTGAAACAAAAGATCATGCTCTATTGTATGAGCATTTATTGATCATTACTCTTAAGGGAATGCATTTAGAATTATACCACACAAAAACAACAACCATTAAACACTCTTTGGTGACATCTTAGTGAGCGGGGAAAGTATTGAATCGGTTTGGTTCCAAGATCTGTACTGAAATTGAACTAAAATAGGAGAAGATGCATGCCATGGCAGATGAACTAATAATACATGTGGTTGAGGGTCTCAAAAGGTAAACAAAACAACTTGTATAGGAATACATACCATCAAGTTTCTGATGTACATTATTTTCATTGTAATTTATGACTTACATCACTGCCCATTTTATTGGTGGAAACATTGCCATTCTCCTCACTTGCCACAAATGTGTGCTTGTTACCCATCTTGCATGTTTTTGCCAAGGTTATATAAGGTAAATAGTGAACCAAATAAAATAAACTTATTGTAATCAATAAGTAAATAGTGAATGACTGTATATAATCTTATAAAAATATGGCCCAAAATGTATAATAAATAAAAAATATTCTACTTTATGAAAAATATAAATCACATTGGTTTCTCACGCTTTTGAAGTTTTAGACAAAGTTACAGTGTACTTTCAGAATATAAAAAATTCTATTAACATCTTACAAATGTTAAAATGTTAATGTCATCGCATTTGAGCATTTTCAATGTAAAATTCACGTTAGATATGATTTGAATTTATATTTAAAAAGTGCATTGAGCTATTGATTGTAAAGCAACATTTCATGAACATTTCAAATATATTTATTTCCTAATGTGTTTATAATGTACATTATTTGTTTCCAAATAAAGCACATTTCAAATATATTTCCAAATACACGCTAAAAGATGCATGCATACTATATGAACCGATCAAATAACTTACTAAAATCTATGTATAATATTCACAGATGCATACTAAATTCGGCTACCGATTGTTAAAAATAATGAAGTTTATAATGTACATTATTTTCATTCAAAGTTTGAAATAAAAAAAAATGATCAATCCATCATTTGCATTTATTTTAGCAATCCACCAAAATAGTTATAATTAATCCTGATGTTAAATAATAATTAAAATAACCCCATATATTTCTATACAATTTCACCAATCTGAGCAACTCAAATTTCAAGAATGATTTTATTACTAATCAACACATAGGCTGTATCCGTATGTATGTGTCGAAGATTTCGGTGATCTACACTGTCCCCTTTAATGAATATGTCAATTATAGAAGGTTTTAAGCAGTCGACAAGTATTTAAGGAATCAAATCACTGCTTATAGTAATTTCTCATGGCCTTTCCACTTTCTGTCGTGTGTAAAAGTGGAGTATATGGTCAACAGCGTCGTCATATATACGGCAAAATGTTGTCATATAAAAGAAAGAACAAATGTAGATAAGCAATCAGCTATAAATTCTTCCCTTGTATTCATCTGCCCCCTTATCCCTATAAACATGCATTTATCTGCTTGACAGTGACATCTCACGCAGACTTGTGTAAGGATTTTGTGCGATGGTGAGTCGAGGAAGTTGGATGTTGAGTTTGTGTTCTTGTCGTTTCTATGAGCTTTCTACCGTCGTTGTTTGCAGGGACTCATAAGCGTTCTCACACTCTCGGTTCTTGTTTCTTGGACCATCGGGGGAGTGACAGCCGCAAATTACAGCGTGGTAGACCACGGAGCCAAGGGAGATGGCAAAACCGATGACACCCAAGTATAATATACAGTGGAGATGCATCTATAGTTATCTCATTTTACAGGCACAAATAGAGAGAGCTTTACATGTCTGTTGCTTCCTCAGGCATTCACGGACGCTTGGAATGCGGTGTGCAGTGATGCCGCAGCTCCAACCTTCCTCGTCCCTTCAGGAATGACGTTCCTGTTAGGGCAGGTCCTCTTCCAAGGCCCCTGCAAGTCCAACGTCCATGTCGAGGTACACGTGCCTCCCACTCGAATGCCACACGCACAGAAGAGAGCTCATTGCTGCTCGCGTGCAGATTTCTGGAAATATTCTACGGCCAAGCGGGTTATGGTCAGGAGGCGTGGTGAGTTGGATCGTGTTCAACAACGTCAACGGGCTCTCCATCGCCAGCACCGGCGTGATCGACGGCCAGGGATCGGCCTACTGGACCTGCAGAAACAATTACGTAAGCTTTTTGCCCCTCTGACGAAGCAGCTTCTCTCACCTTTCCTGCGCTCACTCCATCTGCTTTCTTTGACTGCAGCAATGCAATGACGCTCCCAGCGTAAGTGTCGTGGTGGATATACTTTGAATGGATATATACATATATATATATGGAAAAATGAACTAAATGGAAGGAGTGCCGATTTGGATGTAGGCGTTGACTGTGCTCAACGCCAACGGGTCGAGGTTGAGTGGATTGAAGCTCATCAACAGTCCAAGCAAGCACCTCATCGTGGGGCGGAGCGTGGGAGTCACCATTGATAGGATCAACGTAACAGCCCCCGGGGACAGCCCCAACACGGATGGGGTGTTCATCCAGCAGAGCCAGCATGTGTCTCTCTCGAACTCCATCATCGGCACAGGTGATGACTGCTTCCACCCCTCGGTCTCGTAGAAGAAGAACCTGTAGGCGAAGAGCGTAGTTCTTTCTAATGAATGGAATTGGTTGCAGGAGACGACTGCGTGGCGATTGGCAATGGAACCTTGGATGTTACTGTCACCGGAATAACCTGCGGTCCTGGACACGGAATAAGGTTTGCCTTGAGAGAAAGCTTTGATTTCTCTCAGCCTAATCCTTGGAAATAAACTGATCGACATCTTCTAGATTTGGAAGTTCCCCTCTAAATGTCTGCTTTAAATGGTGTTGTTGTTTCCATGATTCTAGTATTGGCAGCCTGGGCAGTGAAAACTCTGAAGCACAAGTGGAACAAATTCATGTATCTAACTCTAGGATATTCAACGCCACCAATGGATTACGAATCAAGACATGGCAGGTGAACGTTCTCTTCTCTCTGTTCTTCTATCTCTCATACTTTTGAGTTTGGTTTCGGATGCATTACCATCGTTTTTCTTGGTATGACAGGGAGGATCTGGTTATGCAAAGAATATATCATTTGAGGCGATCAACCTCGCTGCCGTAGACAATCCTATACTCATAGATCAATATTATTGCCCGAGGGGAGATTGTGCTCTCAACCAGGTGAACCAAAATTATATGATTTTGATGCAAGAGAAATCAAATTTTGGTTTTATATCACTTGAAAAATGCTAACCATATACATTTAATTGTATAATTGCCTTAAGATCTTTCGAGAAAATTAAAATAGATATTTCATACTTTTAAGCTACTAACGTTTTTATTCCACATTGTTTCGATGCGATGGGGAAGTCGTCGAGTCTTCAAGTGAGTAATGTGCACTACAGTGACATATCAGGAACAACAACCGGGAAGATAGCCATTAATCTCAACTGCAGTCAAAGCGTGATTTGTACAGACATCAGCTTGCAGAACATCAACATCCAATCTGCAGATGCTGGAGGAACAGTAGTGGCTAACTGTACCAATGTCCAGGGAACAGCAGTGGGCATTGTTAAGCCTACAGTTCCTTGCTTAAACTAGAGATCATTGCAGCAATAATCCCAAAGGGATGATTTCCACGTTTTCTAAGCATTAGGTTAATGTTGTTATGAAGGTTTTCGCTATTCGATGATTCAAAATCAAGTCATCAAGTTCCATGGTGTGCAAATATCAAGTTTGCTATTCAATGATTCACAACAAATAACCCAGAGGTCAATAAAAAGAAACAGAAAATAACCTTAGCATGAATGAAAAAATATACTTTCTGAAATGACAAAAGTAATGATACCTTCATGAGAGTCAATAGACTTCACAGAAGCATAATTTAATCATGATGATGATAAAAACCTTTTGGAAGTGCATGATCTTCTCAAGGGAAATGAAAATAAGTGACATCTCATGCTTAACTAACAGCAAGGATGTAGCATAAAGAAAGCTCTATAAGTTTCCACATCATTGATATGTCAATCCAAATTATTCTACTGATCTGAAACCATAGCTCAAAGATACAACAGTTGACATCTTCCATGCACTGATGATGATCACTACCAGCAAAGAAAAGGTAACATGACAACCTTGACAGCAAACTACAAACTTAGCCAACTCATAAGCCCACAGAGTCCACCATACCAGCACAAATTAAGGCATTTACACCAGAGACAATATGCAAACCTTTTCCAATCATCACCATATAGTTCTCGAGGTTGCATCCGTTCATAGCAAGATAGGACACCGAGCAGCAGCCAACTTGAAATGAAAGGGAAAGCACGATTTAAGGAATTGTGCCCAACTGCCTAGATTTTGTCGAGCTTTTCAGCTTTAACCACAGGGTTCGCTTTGGCAATGGCATTCCTAGCTGATGTTTGGTAATCGAATGGACAAACGTGCTTGTCAGAATAGCGGTGCACCGAACAGAAAAGATCCCCACATCGACATCTAAATCCGGTCAGACCGACCCGCTTCCTACAAGTGTTGCATCTATTTGGACCCTCTGCCTTTGCCTCTCTGATATCACTTGAGCCTGATTCATCAGATACTTGTGCCAATAAAGACTTGGCTTCCAGATAGCCAGTTCCTACATCTGCATTACCAGTAATAACTGGGCCTTTTCCACTCGCAAGGTTGCCAATGGAGGACGCATCGAGCTTGGCCTGCTCCTGCTTCAACATCATATCCTTGTGACACTTGGAGCACATGTTCATGGTCGCCGCACTTCCAAAGAAACCGCAGTTGTTGATGCAGAGGATGGGACCTTCAGGGGCTTGGCATTTGGTCTTATCGTGCTCCATTTCCGACTCCCCTGAACCATGATAACCACAACAAAGTAAGCTAAGCGAATTCATCAGGGAATAATAGTCCAAGCTACTCATCTAAGCACTTAACATCCGATCCCTTTCTAGCTAAAACATTTCCACGGTGGACAAAAGCTTCTGAAATAAAGTTGGGATCGCAGAAAAAAGCTCACACCGTGACGCCAATAAGATATTAGAGTGATCCTATAGCAACTATAAGCACCACTACATTGCCATATACTGAACACACTATTTCGTTGATACACGCAATCGATGATCTGCAACTAAGTTATAAACACAAACCATGTATCCAGCTAGATCCTGAAGATAACTATTCATGAAAAAACAGAGTTCATATCACAATCGTAAAAAACAGAAATTTGTACCGATCCTGTGAATTATCTAACTTGAAATTTTTCTTAAAGGAAAAAAAAAACGTTTTTTTTAATCAAAAACTGCGGCGAAAATCCAGAGAGAAATCTTTAAGGGTAAGATAAATAAATGAAATAAAGAATAACTGACAGAAAAGCCTACAGATCGAGTCTAAACAAATGAAGAAGAATCGAAAAAGCAATCATACAAATTTAGTGTGTAAATTATTACCAAAATAGAACAACAAAGGCAAAGGCACAGAACGAACAAGAAATAATTGAACCCACAAACCAAAACCTAACAAAGAGCCTTAGGCGTAAAAATCCAACCCAAGACGCATCCAATCTAAAACGTACAGTACCTGTATGAATAAGGCCTCCGGCGCGATTTGCCTGCGGCAATATTCTCCCAATTAACACGCTGCGACGACCCCTGCCCCGAAGAAGCACAAGCAAAGAGAGACCGGGCAGATGAGCCGATAGGAGAACTGAGCACTAAATCCCAAAAAGGAAAACAAGATGTATTTAAGAGCAAGACGATAGACCAAACCCTGGTGGCCGGTAGCCGCCTCGGAACCGTCAAATCGGCGTCTCTCGGCGGTAGGAGTGGGAGATAGGAGAGACTAAATAGAGAGAGATCAGTCGGTTCCACGACGGGGGATCTGCTGCATGCGACGACTTAGCATACGACAAATGATGTGGCATGCATCAAGAAGGCAGCCCCCCTACCCCACCGCCTCTTGCAGCCTGGATGTGCGCCACATTCTTTGTCGTGTGCAAAATCGTAAATAACGGAACTACGAGAAGCGGCAATACTTTTCGTTACCCCCTCCGCTTCCCCGAATGACATACGACAAAGTCGATTGGAATACAGGAGGGGCCGACGAGACGATCCTCTGGGGCCCTGCCACGTTACACGGGGATATGATCGGGTACGGAAGGAAAAGTTTGCAAACCATAAGTAGCCCCTCTCATATCACCCGTAAAGTTGAAAATAAAAGTAGTTATCTTTTGGCATTTTTCGTTCACATAGTTCTTAAATATTTTAAACAAATTATGAACATTCTGTATTGTAATGTTATAAAATTACTTGGATAAAATTACTCATTCAGTATTAGGATCAATTTATTTACAAGAGCTATCAGTCTTGTTGTTTATGTACTCATTCTGTAATTTCTTGAATTATTATAATTAGATGTTAACTTTAAAACGAATGCTCATTTCAATCAATTTACTTCTTATATTTTTCTGCAAATAATTAAATTATATCGATAAAAATGTGACAGCTACGGAATTATTATACATAAATCTCTTAGTCATATGCTCATCAATCACTGAAACTCAATCAACACAAATCATTTGAGCATATTTAGATATTGCACGGTGATTTCCCAAAAGGACTATTTTTTAGATGCAAGATTACTGCCAAACTAAAAATACAAACCAACGAATAATAATGATTTGATTAGCGTTCCACACAAAGTTAGACTACTGTATGTTTGGTGTTAGAAATTTTGCATCAGATATCCTCCTAAGTGAGGAAGGTTCTAATTAACCAAAAAGCAACACTTGGTTCTAAAGAGTTGAATGATAAGACCAGTTGTCGCACAAGTCTGGCAGAGTCCATTGGCATCACTATCTTCTCCGACATGGGTTATGACAGTCCTCACTATTTTGTAATGGCTCTCACATGCAACTGCTGGAAGGAATACTGTTTCCTCAACTGGATTTGTGGAGAAGCCGATGAGAAAAATGAGTTAAAAAGATCGAAATTGCATCAATATGACAAAAAGTGTTCAAAAGAAACAAATATTTATGATGCCTTTTCCGGACAATATGGACCAAACAACGAAGCACAATTCAACCTACATTTGATTTGATGCCAGCCTTTCAAAATCTGATGCATAATTCCTGACTGGAGAAAATTTGGGCAAGAAAGTGATTTGGATGTAAATCATAAGAAACTGGCTGACCAATGAAGTAACTCGAACAACCGCTAAGCAACCTTCCAAGGCTTAGACCGAGATGAAGCCAAGACCAAATGCCACGCCACCCCCTTGGCACAGATGTTCATCCCATCGGCACAAAGAAGTGGGTTTGCCTCTACATAAGACAATAACCTTTCCAAACATATGAGTTGTTGAACTTTATCAGCTGATAGAGACATTGGTAAAAGAAATCTCGTAACTCTTCTGACATTTGATGCACTGTTGAATGAAGAAATATCCTCAAGGTGCAATCCATGGCAGTATAAAACTTGCTTCGTATTCAATCAAAGTAAATCAAAAAAATGGAAGAAACAGAAACCTAATATTCGAAGAACAACTTACAAATAATTTGACAGGCCTCAAGGAAGCTGAGGAGCAGCAAATGTGAGGCAACTTGAAAAGGAAAAAATCTACCCAGTACGATTAGTTATGTCTATAGAAGCACTGAATGTATGCCATGCTGTGAAAACTCGTATTAAGATGAACTGAATGGATAGAACATAATTAAACAGATATGACAAGGTGTGATTTGATTAGTATCTACTGGCACAAATGAGTTCTCCATCATGTTAGCCCAAATAAAAGAAGTTTCACTTCTGCTTTCAAGTCAAGTGTAACCATCGACTGGTCCCCTATATGCAAGGCGGCATATTTGATCCAATATACTCAAATGATGACTTTAGAATCCTTCTCTTTTTCTCTTTTTCAGGCTAATGGCATGCACGTGTATCCAAAGATATTGTGCTATAAAATTACAATAAAAAATATTGAAAATTCTGCAGAACATCCAGTTATGATTTAATATACCAGAATGGATAGAAATATGAAGATCCCCATTTCAATTTCATTCATCTCCTCATAAGCTTAAAGCAATTTTTTTTCCTTAAAAAGTGTTTTCAGAACGAGATATTAAAATCTGAGTTTAACAGCAACAAACAAGAAAAGAAGGGGGGAAAATTGAAATCTTTAATCAGGAGGTATCATACTTTTCAGTCGCAAAGAGAACAAGTACCGAAAGAGTTGCACTAAACATGAACAAGCTCAGGGTCCAACAAAAACCATTATATCTTCCTATTACTAAGGCTTCAACCTTCCAACCAATTTGGGATAATCAAAGTGCCAATTCTCCATTTTATCATCTTAGTTTCATGAAAAGGGCAGCAGATGAAGATACCAATATATCTTGTGTCCAAGGAAGCGGTAACAGAGTGCAACAACGTTAATATTCTATATTAATTTGACACATAGTATGTGATTGTAAAATCACAATACATCCACAACTACTAACATCAACAGCATTTAATGATGTTCATTCTGTATTATAACATAAATTAGGTAGCATGGACTTACCGAGCTTCGTTTAATGCTCTAAGCACATTTATGTATGAACTCAAATCCTCTTTTCATCATCATCCCAATTCCAAAATTCCATGTTAGGGTACTACTCACATGAACCACATGATCAATTACAAACATGCGTGGGTTGATCATGTGGTTCATGTAAGTGGTACCCTAACTCTGTTAGGGCTAGAGGTGGCAAACAACTCTGTTCCTTGTGACGCATGTGTAGGGCATCGAATCCTACACGGTTCCCTTCGGTTTGCAACGCTTCAATCATGAGTCCACCGAATCAAAGCGTACAACAATCCCTACCGACAAAATGGCATACGAACCTCAGGGCCGATCGTTTCTCGATAAGTAAAAAGATGGGATTAGGGTTTTGGAACCTGGATTGATGACGACGAGTGTTGAAGTCGCGCTCCTTAATTAGCTGCGAAGGAAACGAGGAAAATCTGATGAACGAACTCTGACATAAAGCGGATCAAACGATCGAACAACAAAAGAAGAGAACAAACCTGCAAATTGAGAGGCTAGGTTCTAACCACAGAAGGAAAGAAAAGCCCGTCGGGAGGGAGAGACTACTCACCATGATGGCGACGAGCGAGGACGAGAAGAGAAGAATCCGCGGGATCGGAGCGGGCGACACGAACCGTCTTAGAGAACGATTCACGTTGCAGTGTCTCGCGGGTCAGTTTAAGAAACATGTGATCCAATTAAACGAATTCACATCATAATTTTTAATTGTAAAGAAAATGATTATATATATATACATATATATAATTAAAGAGGAAAATTAAAAGAATCCATTTAATTTTATGAGAAAGTATATTTAAAATTGAGGACAGAAAATTCAGATATTATGTTAATGAGTGACAAATAAAATTAAGAGGAAAATAAATACAGCAGCAATGAAATAATAATTTCGAATTTTAATAAATTTATATTGTGCCCATTAAACTAAAATATTTGTATCTTAAAACAATCAGTAAACAATCAGTAATTTATATTCTATTCTTTTACCAAGACATCTTTTGAATGATGTGGTTGCCTGTATTTTGCTGCTTTTTGCTTAGGTAAGATCTAATTAAATAGATCTTCTTTATATTCTGGAGGCATTTCTCCCAAAATCATTCCTTGATTTGATTTGGCAGTAGGATCTTCAAAGTAATCTTTTCCCAATGGTCATAACCTGCTCCCACTTCACTTTCTTCACTCTCAAGCCTCTACTTAACCTTAATTCCCAGACCTTTAAGCCTATAACTCCAACAGCTGACAGAATTGAAGTAGGAGAGCTCCATATCATTGTGAGAGCTTGAACTTTCCTTCCCACCTTCTCTTGCTCAAACTACAGTTGAAGTGTTCTTTCCTTTATTTAATTAGTCTTCTTCACTTTACAAGTCACATACTCTCTTCACCGTTTGAAGTGTTCTTTCCGGTCTCAAGAAGTTTTCTTCGTTCATATCGATGCTGATGTTTCACCTACTCACATAGAAGATGTGATCACACAAATTATCTTATAAGCATGCATGCTCCCAGGAGACCTTTTCTTCTAGCTGTGGATACTAGTCATGCGAATCTATGAGGCGCTTCTTTTACTATTAGCTTTCACATTCACATCATGAAGCTTTTGAGAAAGTCAAACTGGGAGACAAAGCTGTCCCCATGCCTTGGAATGTGAAGAGGATGAAGAATAAATATATTCTTACGTAGAATATGGATGGTCTTTCTTGGGATTACAAGGAAACAAGGGGAAGCAATTAGTCCATGTCCCATGTAGACAATCTTCTTCCTCTTTCATGCTCCATCTTGTCAACACTTGGAGATTTTTACATGTCTTCAACTGAGCATGCGTGTATTCTCGAGAACATCAACATGGGGATGGATGCACTAAATAGTTACTATCATATTCCATGTTCTTGTGGCTCGTTATGCCTGCTTAAAAGATGACAAGAACAGCAACACCCAAGAGAGGATGTCTCAATTTATGTCTGTTTTCTGGTCCCAATAGCCCTTGTCGCAAGCCATTTGCCTACTGGACCATTAATATTGTTTCACCAGGATGAGAGGCTTTGAAATCTTTGAGGAACCATTTATCTATCACCAGTTGGTGCTGCTGCATGCAACTGCTACTGCAGATTGTTTTCTGCAAGTTAAGAAGAATGCTATATGATACAAATTAGTATTAAGAATAATCTATAAACAGTACAAAGATCAAGACATGCATCTTTAATGTTGGAGGATTGGCTACAGAAATTATGCACTGAGAAAGTAAAAGAAAATCTAAAGCCTAAAGTTAAAAAGCATGAGAAAAGAGAAACAGCTAGAAACATACTTTACGTACATTTTAGGGTGTAATCATTGCGTTAATTAGTGGAAGAGAAAGATCAGACAATCTCCAACAGCTTCACAAGATTTCTTGCTTCGTTTCACAACAAAGCAATTCTTTGCATTTGTTTCCCATTTCACAAAAGATAAAGCAAACAAAAACAAAAGAGGAAAAAAGGAAACTCCTTTTCATGAGCCAAAGGTAAATTGCTATTTGGTTGGGTGTAGAGGGAAAGAAGAAACGTAGTAAACAAAGCTCATCAGACTCGAAGCATACACAACCAAGAAGGGAGCATAATAGGTAAATGACTCCAATCAGTACAATGATGAGAAGCATTTTGGATTGAACAGACTAAAATTAGAACTAGACTGATAAACAAAGCCAGCCAAAAATACTTGATTGATCAACCAAGATTTTAGATACTACATGAGTCTACGTTGATGTTGCGTATGAGTCTAATACTTGTACATCCATGAGGAACACAAAACATGAACATGAGCTAAACGGAATGGACCCAAGAACAAAGGAAGAGTCGTTGAAGACGCTATGAAGCTACAAGGAATAATCATGGTGGTGGTGATCATGGTCTTGCTCGATCTCAGACGACGGCTCGTCCTCCTCCTCGGCACAGTCGATTCCATAGGCTGCATGGCCATGGCCGAACGCCTTAATGTGGTCCTTGAGGGACCTCTTGTGCTTGAAATCCGACCCACAAGTGCAGTACCACAGCTGCCCGCAGTTCTTCTCGTGGGTTCGCCAGTCCCCTCGCACCGCGAACGCCTTGCCGCACTTGCAGCACGCGAAAGGCTTGATCCCGTGCCTCCTCTTGTAGTGGGTCTGGAGAGTCCTGAAGTCCTTGAGTGGCTTTGATCTCGGGTGGTCGATGTTGTTCCTGCACCCGGGCGCGCAGCAGTAGCACGGCAGCCGCCGCATCGCCGTCGGCTGCGCGCCCCTCAGCGACTCCGGCCCCTTCCTATACTGTTGTCCATGACCCCACATGTGCATCTACTTGTAACGCCCACAGAGCAACGACAGAATCCAATGGATCAGAATCCACGTCATATGGCAATAGAACATGCGATATATCATTTGTATCACCACAAACAACATTGAAATAAATCCATCTTGAGGCTATATAGTGGAATATGTAATTATTAGCTCTATTTTCATGTTTCATATTTTTCTCTCCCGATCATAATCTGAGATCCAGAAGACAGTGAAGGAACAGAAACTTCAAAAAACAGGATGTAAAGATTACTTGTGATATGTATATATATATATATAGAGAGAGAGAGAGAGGGAGGGACGGATGAAGAGGCTGGAAATGGAGTCAGGACAGACGCTAATGCAGAAGAATAACAGAGGCTAAGGTTACTTCAGAAATCCCTTACAACTGCCACAGAAGAGTAACACAACAAAGCATACGATCATTCCTACCTCTGTCTTCTGCAGCGACATAAGAATAGAAGGGGAACTATTGATCAGATCAGCCTCACAATAACCACACACACAGCAGTTCGGGTACCATCACACACCCATGTTATTGATGCAACAAAGGTAAATGGACCTTGTAAGAGAAGAATTAGATCACCTGCATGTTGTTGTATCGGTTGAAGGTCTTGCAGCACACCGGACAAGAAAACTGGGAAAGAACTGTAAGGATCTGAGAAGGAGTGGGAATCCAGTATTGGCCCTTGATAAGCCTCCCTATGATAGGGTAACCTGAAGGAATTGCATCACCACCACCACCATCTTCTTCAGGCCCTTCTCCATCATTTAGCATAGTAGAGGAGACCCCGGAGATAAGGTCAGCTGCGCCGGAGCTCGGGAGGCCTATATGGAGGGACACTGCCACGGCCCCTTGCTCATCTTCTCCATCCTTCAAGCTTTTCTTCTCGTTGTCACCACCAGTGCAACTCCCACCGCCCTCGCCTTCCGGAAAGGCGCTGCAGGAGGATGAGGATTCTTCCTGTCGGTGGTGCCTTGTTGGACTGAGACCGAGAAGGGGGAGGGCTTCTCTGAGGGGAGGGGAGGGTGGTGGGGATCGAAGGTGAAGGAAGTTACAGTCGACTAAGTTGTAGGTAGGGAACAGGGAGAGAGGAAGAGGAGGAGGATAGTTGGAGGAGAAGCGAGAACGATTGCAGTAGCCTTTGAAGAAACTGGGGTTGGGATCTGCCATGGCAGGAGCTTGGTCGTGGAAGAGAAATCAATGCTACTGTTGAGAGAGAAGCCTGCAGACAAAAAGAGCAATTAGAGAAAGAGAACATGGAGTGAGAACATATCAGAAGAGGTCAGAATTTAGATGAACCTAGAAAATATATTTGTGGGTTCATCACCTTGGGAAGAACAAAGACTTTTTTGATGGAAGCATGTCAACATGAAGGTAGACTTTTCCCCTACAAAAGAAAGACATGAAGGTAGACTACATGCACATATGAGGTGCCCTAACCAAGTGAAAAACTATACAGAGGTTCTCTATCATATTTTAATCAAACTGTAGGAAAACAAGAATCAACAAGTAGAGAGAGAAAGACCACCAACACTGAATTAACAATGAGTGCAACATTCTTGAGTAGGTTGGCAGGAAATCAGGTTCTTTTCACATCTTTTACTCAAATTTGGAATAAATGTTATGATGATAGTAAAAAAAAAAGAAGAAACACACACAATATTACACAGTTCTAAGGAGGTTTATTTTATTTTCCTAGAGGTAAAAAAAATCATAAAAAAAAGTTAAGACATTGAATTAAATATAGTATGGAGATAGAGGAAGTGAAGGGGGAGTGGAAGATTCCAAGGGACGAACTTTTAAGGCTTTAGAATTGTTTTGATGTTTTCTTTTAGGAAAAACAAATTCATATATAAATCACTTCAAAGTTAGTGACTTTCATTTTTTTTCTCTAATTTTAGTTTAGTATTTATACATTGTAAAACCTAAAATCTTAAATTCATGTTTTTGTATTTTTTATTTTTAGTTAGCTAGTTTATTTAATAAAATTATAAAATTTGAAAGGATTCCTAATGAATGGAAAAAGAATTCTTTAGTGTTAATTTATAAAAATAAGGGTGACATATAAAATTATTCAAATTATAGAAGAATTAAAATTATAAGTTATACTATAAAACTTTAGAAATAATTATCAAAGGTAAAATAAAACTTGAAACAATATCTCTCAAAATTAATTTAATTTTATGCTTAGAAGATCAACTATAGAATATTTATTTATTAGGATAATTATTAAAAAAAAGTATAGGGAGAAAAAAAAGAAGATTTACTTATGATTTTTATTGACTTACAAAAAGCTTATGATAGAGTTACTAAAGATTTATCATGGTAAGTTTTAGAAAAGAAATATGTATCAATTAATTATATTGATATTATTAAATATATGTATAATGATATAACTATTAGTGTTAAAACTATATGGAGTGTATCTAGTAAGTTTCTTATTAGTGTAGGATTATATCAAGTATCTATATTAAGTCTATATTTTTTCACATTGGTAATGGATGAACTTATATGATAGACCTCTTTGATGCATATTATTTATTGATAATAATATCTTAATAAGTTTAAATAAAATTAATTATAAACTTGAGCTATAGAGCAAGCTTAAAAGTTAAAGATTTTAGATTGAGTATGACTAAGATTGAAAATATAAAATATAATCTTAGTGATTCTAGAAATAGATAAGAGAATATAGCTAAATTCGATGGACAAGTAATCTCTTGAATCAATTATTCAATAAAATAGAATAAATGATGAAGATATTATACATAAAGTAAAAATATGATAATTGAAATAATAAGAGGCTATTAAACGAAAATGTTGAATTTGATATGTAGATTACTAGCAAAGATAGGAAAAAAATATTTTTATTCATTAACAACTATGTATTACTTCGATAGAGGATAAGATAAAAAAAATATTTAAAATGATAGAGGCATGTGCTTAGGAAATCTCTGAATGTGGTAATCAAAAGAGGTAAAATGATTAATGTTAGTGGTACAAAAAAAAAATGGAGACCTAAAAAGATATCAATAGAAATTATAAATATAGATTTAAGTACTTTTGATTACACATATAACCTTTTATGAATCTTAATGATGACAAAAGATGCATGCATCTGACTCAAATAATTAGGATTTATGATTTTATTATTATTATTATTATTATTATTATTATATAATTAATTTAAGTTGATAAAAACTCTAATTCTAATTAGTGTCATTTAAATACTAGTCTGATGATAAAAATATTAAGAACATATGAGATTTAAAATGATAGAGGCATGTGCTTAAGAAATATCTAAATGTGGTAGTCAAAAGAGGTAAAATGATTAATATTAGTGGTAAAAAAAAAAATAAATAGAGACCTAAAATGATATCAATAGAAATTATAAACATAGATTTAAATACTCTCAACTTGGATTACACATATAATCTTTTATGATTCTTAATGATGACAAAAGATGCATGCATCAGACCCCAAATAATTAGGGTTTATGATTTTATTATTATTATTATATAATTAATTTAAGTTGATAAAAACTCTAATTCTAATTAGTGTTATTTAAATACTAGTTTGATGATAAAAATATTAAGAACATGTGAGGTGCTTTGTCATTGTATATATATTTCAATTGAAACTAGGTGATTAACTTTGAGTTTTTAGACTTCTAATGGATGTATACGAGGGATGTTTACGAGAGAGAGAGAGAGAGAGAGGTCTCTGACTCATACCCAATATCCTTATTTAGAAATACATACTCTAATTCTTCCTAGATTTCACTTTATTATAATTCTTATACATAGCTTTTTTAACGTTCTCATCCCCTAAGCCTTTTATCATGATATGAAGCCAATTATAAATGAAAAGATCCAAAATTTTGGGTTCACCATGCTGGTGGCTGAGTTGTGTGTGCACTGCATCATTTGCTCATCAGTTTCTTTTCTTTCAACTGTTGGATACATGGAGCAGAAGGAAGAATATGGAACACTATTTGTTACTCAAAGATTTATATGAAGACATAAAACTCATGTATAGCTCCGATAAGCTCATTTATGCTGGCCCATGTAATCGTAGACAAAGTTCTGGGACAATCCAAACTCAGAATGCAGGGAGTTCTTCAGAAGATAGATAAACAGACATATGATCATTAAATCAGAAGAAACAATCCCTGCATATGCAGTTCAATGTGCATGGACAACAAGATCAACAAATTTGCAGCGCGGATAAGGGCTGCATTACAGGAAGCCGGTCATGAAAACACCAGTGATTTACTGGATCAAGGGAATCCATCTCAATTCTAGGTCAAGCTCTCCACATTCTACATTTTGTAGCTTCAATGACACCTCTTGTTTGACCTTTCCATCAACAACATTGATGACGCTATCTCTGATGAGGGCATTGTCATTTGACAGCAGCCACTTCCCAATTTGCATGTCGGAAAGCAAGTCGGGGTCGCCAAATGCTGTAGCAGATGTGATCATCGGTTGGAGATCCACCTCAGCTTCACCCATTATGTCATCGGAAGAGATAAGGTCGTGATCATATACTTGCTGCTTGTGGAACAAAAGTTGAAAATGTCATTTGGGTTTTAAAAGAATTGACATAACATAATTTAATAAAAGGGCCCGAAATCATCCATATTCTTGATTTTTCTGAAGACTACTCGATCTGGATTTTGTTCTGGGAACTCAAAAATGTATATTCCATGGTGTAAGTTTATTGAGTGACTATGAGCATAAGACTATCTTAGTCAAGCAGTGGATCATATGTTGAAACATGTGAGTATGAAGTTGTGAAACGAAAGCAATATTTCTTAAACTCCAGTTATAACCATCTATTACTGAGTAATTCTTGGTTTGAAAAGATGGAGCACAGTCTATGTGACACGACATGTAACTGAAGCAGAAACAATTGGTCCATAACTCACCACTTTCAGGGCTCCATAGTTTTGAGGAACTGATAACTTAAGCTCCTCATTCCAAACTGGATTCAGGTTGCTCTTAATAACAGCTGTCTGAGCCTTCTGCAGAAATCCATCATATAGTAAAACAAATTACACTCTTATGAAGAAACATAGCATTTACAAAGGCAAAAATTCATGCTGAAAGAGAAAACTCACCTGCTGTCCAAGAATTAAAACAACATAGGGATCACTAGTTAGCATATCTCTAACTGCTAAATTAGTTCCTCTTATCACTTTAACGTTCAGTATGCCAATGAATTCTACCATCCCTGCCTGAGACTAATCCAAGACCATGTTGTCAGAGTAATTTAGACAAAAGTATTATCATTTGTTTTTTCTTTTATGTAGCATTCTTACAATACTCGTTGAACTTTCTGAAGGAGAAATACTGTCAGTATCCTTTCCAGAATCACAGGACGTGAAAGACCCTTTCGAAGAAACAATACGTAGGCTTGGTTTCAAAAATTCTTGCAACTGATACTTCGACCTGTAACTCATAACAAGGGGCTTTTCATGAAGAACCATTCACTTATGTGAGAGAAAACTCAAACAATGACATCATAATATCAAATACCTAATGAATTTTGTTCTTTCCTGATGACTGGAGTCCGGTTTAGGCTTGGAAAATCCCTTAGGAAGAAAAGCCTCATATATTGCATTGGCATAAGAGTTTCCACCAACCTCTATCATAGAGTTGATTTCCTCGTCAGACCATTCATCTAATGTCACTGACAGAACCTAAACAACAATCATGACAGAATGGAAGAATTATCAATGGAACTCTAAGAAACAAAAAGCAAATAGCATTCATCTTGACGAAATAGTTAAGATGCACTGCTATTTTGGAGCACTTTTAATTGTCTGATTGGAAAAGAGCAAAATCAAATGACATATTTGAAGTTGTACATACTACGATTTGGTTTAACTCGTAAGTTTATAGATTAAATGAATGGCATTTCACCAATAAAAAGACCATCATGCAAGACTTAGATGCGTCATTTTTGAAAGCTCAATTATCTTGCCAGTTCTCCTTAAGACTTTTAAAATTTTATGCATGGAATTTGAAGGCCTAACTATCAGTAAAGTATGTATGTTTAAGCACTACCTTTGAAATATGAGTGCCAAGGCTTCTGTGCACACCACTACATTTTAAGCATATAAATACCCCGATATTGGCTGACCTGCAAAGACAAGGAAAGGGCCATTAAAAACTGTATCTCCTCATGTGCACAGCACAATAATATGTCTATGAAGCTGAAAAGCGAACAAGCAAATATGGGCTTTAAAATTTTTTTTTTTAATTCTTTCCTTATGAGATATACTGAAAATTTTGAAGTTCTGAAACCCATAAACCAACAAAAGCTAATTTAGGAAAAAAAAAATATGGATCTAAAGTAAATGTGCTGGCTTGATGTGTGTAATTTGTACAATATATAAGAACTTACGCCCACTTCGGATCTGTGGCACCACAATCAGCACAGTTGCGGTTGTCACTTTTAAGCAACAAATCCTTCAATTTTCTTATATTACCTGCTAGTAGGGCAAGGAAATTTAAATTAGTCCTTCCATGTACCATACAACCAACTAAAGACTAGAGCATACTGTTAAAATAAAATATCTCAAAAATTGAAGTATAAAGTCATTTGGCTCATGGCGAAAGCCTGTATGCATAATTCAATATATTTAGATATATAAAATTGTCATAAGTAGTATGCTTATTCATGCAAATAAATATTTCTCATTCAATTCAAGCTTCAAAATGCTTATGCTTTTGTACGTAGTATTTCTGCATATATTTGAGCAATGATGTCCAGACAAAGTTAGAAATAACAAAGACACTGACATCCATTTGAAAACATAGTAAATTTGGTGCCTAATTAAGCAAACTGATACAGGATAACAGATATGGCAAAATTATTCAAACGTATTTAGAGAGAAGTTGACAAGATGTATCGTGGCCATATGATGGCTAACTGTCCTCCCAAACATCACATAACAAAAATTCAGCTTAATTTACTATCTGGTTTGGAACCAAAATGTGCCTTTAGACAAAGCAAAACGTTGCCTATACAGCATATGTCCATGACAAAATGATGATTACACAATCAGAAATTCTCTGAAAAAAATTAATGATGAAAAAGAACTCACTGGTCATATTTGTGTCCACAAATCTTGATCAATGAAGTCGTCTTGACATACGTTCCCAAGTCACTGGGAAAGAGTGATTTAGATAAATAGGAAACACAAGTCAATTTTAATAATACTACATAATCACGAATGTAATCTTAAGGAATTAACTACCTGAACCACAATGATGGATGGAAATCAAAGCATAATTACGTATTGTTAGAACATTTACTTTCCAGGAATCTGGGGTAACCAAAGTGGCAGTAGATGGAATCTTTCTCAACAGATACATCTCTGTAGTCTTTGTAAAGTAATTATAAGAAAGTTCAAAGAGTTTATGCTAATTGCAAGCAAACTGAAGTAAAATGGTTGGTTTTAACATGCATCAAGCTGTAGCAAACAACCAGAGCTAAATGGAAGATAACCTGTTCTGTAACAAGAGAGTTGATCAGCCTATATATAAGCATAATAAACAATCCTAATTCCTTAATCATTCTTAAGCAATCTAACATTACACCGTTATAAGCCTCGCAATTTTCGTATAAATGGTAAGTAATTGGAATATCCTTATTGCATGTTACAAGCCAAAAGAATTTATTACAGAAATTGGAGAAAACTGACAAAAGATTATACAGACCGAAGCAAGAACAAGACGAGGATTTATGAGGGACAAAAACCATCAAAGGCCCAAACGACCAACATTCACAATATATGGGAAAACATAGATCTCCGTAGCTAAATAAAATGCTTTTCTTGTTCAAGCTACAACCAAAAATAAAGGGGCGAATGCCGTCGAAATTAGAAATGAAGCAACGAGGCAAAAATCAGAACTCCAAAAGAGAATAATTTTGTTAAGAACAACGCGTCACGGATGCAATCCAACCGAAAGATTCATTCTTTGTGAAACAACGACGGAACTCAGCTCCAAGAATCGATCGAGAGACCAACGGGGAAAATGAAAGCATCGGAATCCATTCGAATCGGAAAAGAATGAACCAAGTGCCACCGAGGAATCGGAGGCGACAAAAGATCTTTGTCTCTCACCAGAGAATTCGAAGACGAACTGAACCAACGCGAGCTCCGAAAAAGCTGATGAGATTTTCGGAAACTCTCCGTGTATTAATTCTTGCGCCGTGGGAAAAGAACAAAAAAGTTTCGCCACCCTCGCTACTCGTCATAATTCCACCCACCTCTCCATTGGAAACAATGCCCTCGGTGGGTCCCACGAATATCCAGAAACTGCCTCCAGTTACAAGACGGGTAGATGCTCGTGTAAGCTAGAAAGAAATCGGACGCTTTTACAAATTATTCCTTAGTAATTTTTTATTTTTATTTTATTTTCGTGGGAAGAGAATTACCTATTAATGGATTTGTAATTTTGGAAGTAACCTACGGAGCAGTTTTATTTGCCCTAAGTCTCGGAGCATTATACCGAAAGATGATCGCCTATAAATGCCCGACGAGGTGTTCGTTACACCCGGAGCTGGAAATGGAGTCTCAGATCCCGCCATTTCTTGGAGGGAAACGAAGGAGCAGGAGCCGGCGATTCCATCGGTAATTCCTCCATCCATTTCGTGTTGTGAATTCGAAACAGCTTGAACTCATCAAACCCTCTTTCTGATCGTCTTCGATGCAGAGTAGCATCGGGTCTATGTTAGGGTTGATGACTTGATGTGGTAGATTGTCGTCTTGGTCGATTTCTATGAACTGTTTGCTTATGATCTTGTTAAAGATGCGGTGATAACGATGTAGAAATCATTGTAATCATCGTTTTTGGTCTTTCTTGTTTTGTTTTTGCTCCTTGGAGATTTTGGTCAAGTGTTATACGTTCAGTGGCTGATATATTTAGTGAGATGATATGGAAAATATAGATAGCAATTCAGGGTCTAATTGCTTTGATGAGACCGATATCCATGATGTCCGAATCTGTGAAGATATCTGAATTTCTATAGAGATTAAAGTAGGATCACTTATTAGTACTTTTGGGGGCAGTAACTCATATCGATAATGCACTTTTTAGTCGTCTGACCAACATGTAGGGCTTGGTTCTCATTTTTATGCCGAGTAATCATCTTGGAGAGACAGCCTAACAAGATCCTCTGATGCCTAAATTAGGTTACTAGTTTGAAAAATACAGAACAATAAATGAAAAGTAAAGGCAAATCAAATAAGGTCATTCGGAGAGAAAAAAATGATTTAATACGTTCCCTGGAAGACCCATTTATATATCTTGCACAATCATAGGACAGACCTAATGGGCTGATAATGATAATTACCATCCAAGCGAAGTTAGCCCATGTAATAAGTTGACTGGACCAATATTAATGATTGAGATGGATAGGAGAGTGGCCCATTAATGTTGTTGTTAATTCTGCTTTGTGACACTTCAAATTTTTATCAATGCTATTACATTTAATTGTTCAAGTCAGTCTTAATTTCAACCATTTCTCACTTTTCTTTTGTTTCCTAGAGCACATCCTTATTGACGTCATCTCTCTCATTCACTTCTCATGTGTTGTATATTAATTTAAAAGGTCTTCTCTATTGTTTGTTAAACCTATGTTTAAACTTGTGAAACAAGGATTCCTAATTCTCTTGAGATAAAACTTTAAATTGTATTTCCAGTAATCTCAATGCTGGGTTTGCATTGCCAGTCTCTAATCTCTTACTTGCAATTGGGGAATGATCTTAACACAAAAGAAGAAGAAATGGCTTTTGCATATGCATACACAAACTCTTTTTAGCTTAAGCTTCTGTTGGCACATTTTTTAAAATGATATTTAAGAGTCTCATTCATCAGAAACTTCTCCTTGCCATTTTTTAATTTAAGATTGTAGTCCTTGAAGTCTTCAGTTGTAATATGTCGGATGATTGTTTTATCTGAACAGGTAGCAGGAAACTTTTAGTAATGGTGCACTGCCCACTTTGAAATCTCCTAGTAACCTGGTGGCCACCCACTACCTTTTTCCTCAAAAAAAAAAAATATTTAGAGCTTTGAATTGATGAGTATAAAAAGTTTGGAATCTAGTTGAGGACCTTATTGGATGTTTGCTGTTTTGCCAATGTTCTCTCCTTACAAACATTGGGATGATTAAGGAACACATCTTACTTAATTTGCTTTATGTCAATTAATCAGTTCTCTTTAAAATACATTTCATAATGGCTGAGTCCTAGTAATTTTTGCAGAAAATGGAAATGATGGTCCTCAGCTTGATGTTTGATGAAAATACTTCCATGATGCCCTAGTGAACATTAGGCTAAATATTGCAAATTGCTTAGCAGTGTGGGATAATAAAATGACCTCTAGACTTTGGTTTGTAGGATAATAATATATCAGCATGGTATGATTTAAGAAAGGGCAATATAAGAGCATAAGTTTTTCAAATGTTCAAATAATTGACAAATTCAAAAATATGAGACCAGATACATATGAAATAATTTTATTAGTTTCATCTGGATATTCATGAGTTGTACTTGTAAGACACGAGGGATATAATCAACTATGACACTGACTAGAAATATTCTCCTCATGGTAGAATTTGTCACCTTGAAGTTGAAGTAAGCAGGTTTTGTATGATGAAAATAGTTTTGTCAGATTTGAGGTTTTGTTGCTCAAAATGGCATGGCTAAATCAACCAAAAACTATATTGTGAAAGCAATTATAATTGGCTATAAGATGATTTTTCATCAAAGTGTCCTGACATGGAGGAATTAGTTGTAACTAGTGTCCCAGAAATTGATAAACTCATGAGATACATTAGGTATCCTTTTAAAGATAGAAATCATCATTTCTTCAGTACGTAGTATAGATAGTACTTCTTGGTAACTTTCTCCCGGTTTAATTCTAGTGCATCTGTCTATATGATAGACATACTCCAAAATAGACATTGTCAACACAATCCCTATCATACCAAACAAATATAAGAGATTCCTAGGTTCCATCATTGGTTTCTTCTTCCATTAGTGTCATTATTCGATTCAAGAGTAAACTATGATCCCAGATGGTCTTTTGGCCTTGTGAACTTTCTTGATTAAAATGATCTATCTCAATGTGCCTCTTGTTCAGAATCAGGTAAAGTGTTCACCCAACACTCGGAGGTTTATCGATTTAAGGAGCAAGTCAAGCATAGGTCAGGCGTCCTTGACCCCCATCGATGTTCACCCAACGCACGGAGATTGGAACTAGAAGGTCGTCGATATAAGGCGCTGGTCAAGCATCCCTGACCCCCATGGGCGTTCGCCCGATAAGTTGAGGTCAGGCATCCCCAACCCTCGTCAATGCTCGCCCGATGTGTAAAGATCGGGCATCCCCAACCCTTGGAGATCAGTGCTCGGAGGTCATCAATTCAAGGCGTAGGTTGGATGTATAGAGATTAGGCAACCTCGACTCCCACTGGTGATTTGCCCGACGTGTAAAGGTCGGGCATCCCCGACCCCTATCGACATGTTGTCACAGACAAAGTTTTAAACAAGATGTTTGATGTAATACTTATGTATGTCCGTGTTTTTCTATTTGTTCATGCTTTGCACAGTATGTAAAGGAACGGTCGAAGGCTTAACAGCCTCATTTTAGTTCGGTTTGGTGGCCTTCTTAGGCTTGTAAATAAATATTGTGTCATGTGAACACTTGTGAGAGATATTCGATTTGTAGTGGACCATTTTGACCCTTTGTTATGCAACCGTTCAGAGCTTGTAAAGTCTGTTTATAATTTGTATTGTCTATGAGGTGTTTTCGGAAATGTTTGCTTGTGGATCCCGAGTGAGATGCTTTCTCTAACCCGTTTTCTCTTTCGTAGGTCCTAAGGGACTATGGGAGGTTTCAGGGAGGCTGACCTTTGCGGACAGACACGCAAGGGTGCCGCACGACTTAGGCAAAACCAGCTAAGTCCGTGACAGATGGTATCAGAGCGGGACAAGCACTCATTGAAACACTTGACATGCAAATGTGGGAGACCTAGCGGGACTGAATTGAGGGTAGTTAGCACACGCGCGACCGTTTGGGGGAAAACGAGCATGGAAATGTAAGGAAAAGGAGTCGCTCGGAGGAGCGGGCATTTGAGATTGGCATTCAGAGGAATGGCCAATCCTTCGCGCAAGAGGTACCACGAGAATAAGCAAGCTTAGAAGAATGTGGAGTGCACAAAGGTTGAGATGACTGAGTTCGAGCTACGGCTCGACATTGAGAACTATATTTGATGGTGCTCAAGGCAAGCGAGGCACTTGGTAAAGGATGAGACCACGCAAGGTAGAATGAGTTGCTCAGCGATCGAAAGAGTTATGCAAAGCTCACAGAGGTGAGGGGAATTGCTAACTCGAAAAATTCGGTACTCATGCATGGGCTTGTATGTGAACAATGGAATGTTCGCGGCTATCCTAAGGCGACCGAAACTCAGCGCCATAGAGCATTGAAACTTTCTCTTCGACATGTGAAGGATATGTCCGTAGGAGGCTGAAGTGTGCAGCGAGTTTAGCATATTGCTAGGCCTCGAGTAGTGCAGCGAGGGATGTATTGATGTAGAGTCGCAATCTAGCAAGTGTGTTTGCAGGAGGCAGAACAATGCACAATTTGTTTAGTAAATCAGAGTAGTTCAAGGGGATAGTGGTCTCCAAAACTTTCAGAGAGAAAGAAGCGTAGAGAGATGTTGCTCCAACGGGACAGTTATCCAGGAGTGATAGATCTCGGTTCTCCAGATGGAGAATCATGTGCAACAGACTGCACATATTGAGGAGTACCTAAAAAACAACAACTCTACGAAGCTCAATGGACCGAGCGAGCGGCGAGGAGTCGTCGCATGATCTCACTTGAGAGAATACATTGGTAGATGCATTACGAGATCAAGTGGGGGAGCGACCCAAAACAATACAAATAAAGGCACACTTGGAGTTAATATGGAGATCAGACTCAAGGGAGGGCTGACCCGTGGAATGGTGGGCGTGAGGGCCACTATCAACTCAATGTAAAATGAGGAGCGAAGCAACTTGGGTGTAACTTGGCAAAGTACCCAAGCTACATGAAGGGAGCCAGCATAGAAGATGTAACATGAAACAGAGGCATAATGCTTTCTTTGGACAAAGGTCAAGGACATGAACTCTTGCAAAGGCAAGAGCAGGATCATGTTGTTCCATGGTCCTTTATTCTAACGGAGCAGACTCATCTTGCATGGTGCCAAAGACGAAGGGAGCTTCTAGGCACATGCACCTTATCTCGGAGAAGCATTTGATGGAGGAACTAAGGTGACTCAACTTGCGGAGGCGAAGTTGGGTTCATAAGGCCTTGACACGGGGCAAGAGGACGCGAAGGCGGGTAATCTTGAAAAATATGTCACAGTGTTGCTATTCAAGTTGCCATGAAGGAAGCGATGTGCAGCGGAGATTGTGTTGGTAGGGGCAAAGGCCCAGGATCCAGATAATGGTGTATCATTTTTAGCGAAGTCGGTGGACTTCAGGAGCTACTAGGCGACGGACTGTCCTAGAGCAGTGCTTCATTTAGGTGTGACCCAAGAGCGAGTGAATGAAGGTCAATTGCCAAAGGAGCGAACAAAATCGAAGGTGAAAGAGACCTTGCGATGTATTGGCAGAGGCCATACATGGAGGGATCACAATTCGAGTTCATCCCACAAGGATCAGAATGCAATAGAGATGTCACCAGGAAGTGACATGGTGCAGCAGATTATGGTGGAACAGTTCATGGCAATGCGATACACACGACATTGTCCCGTGAGGGACTATATCATACGGAGGTATGATCGGGAGCTATTGGAAGCTCCACTTCGGTGAACAATACGACGGCAAGAAGGGCTATGGATTCAAGGAGTGAAAGTCATGGTACCGCAGAGGCGGGTCTTCCGTGCGTGCATCGAATTTTGCATCAGATGAAAGCCTTGATCATCAGCATATGGGGGCTGTGTTCCACTAAGGGAAAAGTTCGAATGCAAGTACCAATGAGTCCCATGGGAGGAACTTGATCATGCAGATGTATGATCGAAGTAGCTGAAGAGTTGGACTGCTCTAAAGCCCATATTCGCTTAAGGGAGCCCGGCAAGTCAGAGGACAAGGTTGAGTAAGCGAACGTTGCTACCAAGGAAGCTAAGGAGAACAGAATCGGTGCAAACCCTACAACGTGATGGCAGAGGCCATACATGGGAGTTGCAGTCTGTCTTTCCATCGACCAAAGGGAGCTGCTTGGAGAACATAGAGGTGTTGAAGCAGGGGGTTGAAAGGGGCGAGGAAGCGACGACGAGTCCAGAGGGACTTAGCTCCCTAAAATCAAGCATCAGTTAGAATGGAGGTGGACTCGGAGGAGTGCCACAGAGACATATCTATTGATCGTGAAGAAAAGAGATGCAGATGCAAGGCGACGGATAGTAGAGCCATGGGCATGGCAACGCCATGGTACCGCAGAGGCAGGACTTCCGTGAAAGTCATTGATCCCTTGCTCTCATGGAGGGAGAGTGCTTGGTCGTGAAACGGGCCGAAGAGTTGGAGCATGCAGAGGCAAACTCTAAGTACCGAGACAAGGCTGAAGGGCAAAGGCCAAGGAACTTCGTAAGACCAGTGTCAACGAGCTTCTCATCAAGATAGTCGAAAGTGAAGGACTTCGGGTCATGCAAGAGTGCACGACCAAGGAACGAAGCAAGCAATATGTGGTGCTGTACCTTTTTTACTCAGTGGAGTAGGCGACATGGTTGATCGAGAAGACGGTACAATCCGAGAGGCGACCAAATCTATTAGATAATTACTCCAAGTTGGGGTGAAAACTTCCTGCATTTTAGAAGTTCGATGACATTGAGAAGGTGAATCACAGTAGCTAACTCAATACAAGGAGTGTAAACACTTCGAGTGCTTCAGAAGTGTGAGCAAAGAGCAGGCGAAAGCTAGTAACAAGCTCGATGCATGGAGTATAACCTTTGAGGAGGCGGGCAAAGTCAAGTAACCATTGCCTTCTCAACTCTTAAAAGAACGGGCAAAACCGAGTACCCCAATTCTCTTATCTATCCAACAGAGAAGCTCTGCACATGTTCAAAGATCCTTCAAAGATAATGGAAGACAATAGTTGTAAAATCCTCACCAATGGTGATCAGTGCTACTGTGAGTAGATTATCCGCTTCATTTCCTAACAGAATGCCAATCGAAAGCGGAAATGATGCGAATCTACTTGGAAGTGACAACTAAGTGAAAGAAGAGTCGATGGACAAATTTTATGGAGGAAGGACTCAAAACTTCAGAAGTTTGCGAGACAATGCTCGTTAAAGCTCCAACAAGCATCCACCTAGTTCAAGCAACATGAGGCATTTAAGAGAATGACGCATAGTAAAGATGACCTTTTCCTTCATCTAGAGGATCCGCAGGAACCAAGAGGGATCAACACAACTTAGCCAACCCCACACTAGAGTCAGAGTCATTGGCGAGTTGAAGCAGCATGGCGGATCGAAGGTTCGACTACTCAAAAACAGCAGCGAAGAGCAGGTGGGAGCCAAGAGGCACATTGCAGCTAGAGTAGAAGATTGAAGACTCAGTAAAGGCGAGGAGTTACAGTGTCGGCAAAGGCTTCGACAAGGATGTCGAAGGAATAAGTGGGGGAGAATATCATAGACAAAGTTCTAAACAAGATGTTTGATGTAATACTTATGTATGTCCGTGTCTTTCTGTTTGTTCATGCTTTGCACAGCATATAGAGGAACGATCGAAGGCTTAACATCCCCATTTTAGTTGGGTTTGGTGGCCTTCTTAGGCTTGTAAATAAATGTTGTGTCATGTGGACACTTGTGAGAGATATTCGGTCTATAGTGGATCATTTTGACCCTTTGTTGTGCAATCGTTCAGAGTTTATAAAGTCTGTTTGTAATTTGCATTGTCTATGAGGTGTTTTCGGAAATGTTTGCTTGTGGATCCTGAGTGAGACGCTTTCTCTAATCCGTTTTCTCTTTTGTAGGTCCTAAGAGACCATGGGAGGTTTCAGGGAGGCTGACCTTTGCGGACGGACACGTAAGGGTGTTGCACGACTTAGGCAAAACTAGCTAAGTCCGTGACAATATGTCCTCCGTATGTCATCCAAGTTGAAAGAAAGAGACAAAAGTTACCCCTCACCAGACTGCCTACATGGACAAGGGTCCAAGGCAAGCGATTGCAAGATGTCTCACCCTTGTCGTCCACATAGAAAAAAGGCTCAAGAGAGGTTGTTAGTACCTGGGGGCTCTACGTTTTCACCTCGAAGACACATTGGATAACCTTACGCATATGAGTTTAGATCATGTTGGGTTGACTAGGACATTAACGACATCTTCCCGTAACATTACCTAAATATAGTTCTTCACTATCTATCGGCCAGAAGAGATTGCCTAGGTGTGATGCAGGCAACGCATGGAGTAGTTACATGAAGTCTCTTATGATGCTTAAGTTAAATAATGAAAAGGTTCTATAAAAGTGACTTAATATTTGTAAATACAACCCTATATAATTTTGCGATGAACTTCTGTTTCATATGCAACCAAGAAAGCAGGAATTACAATACCTTTTAATAGAACTGCTCAAGTTTCTGGAGTGGACAACAAACTATTGGCGTGGCAAATGATGGCTGAACTTTCTAAAAAAACGCGTGAAGTAGCAGCAGTATCTCACAAACAGGTAAAGATTCAGTCTACTCTCTAGTGTTTGAAAGTTTCTGCAACTGACAGATATGGATCAGTGAGCAGCGTCCTTGTATAGTCTAGAGTTCTGTATCAGTCTGGATTTCCACTGTGACTTTGGTTATTATCGAAACATTTTTTAACATAGTTCGGTCGTCACATCTTCACCGAGCTTGCTGTGCTTGTAAGGGTACCACCAATGTCTAAATCAGCAATCATTTGTTGTCTATATTCGAGGGTATGATGAAATTATAAAGGAAGCTAAAGCTAACAGCATCGCTTTGCTCTTTTTTTTGTTGCAGAATACGTGCTATCTTCCAGAAAGGGTATTCCAATTTCTCTGTTGCATCAAACGAAATGGATGGAGTGTTTTTGTGGGTACTTCTCTGTATGACGATGTCCACCAAGATTACTGCTGTGCTCGAAGGCTACATGCACTGTTGGTCGTGTGAAGATTTTTGCAGACGTTCAGGTACTACCTAAACACCACTTGGATCTTTAATCATCTTTCGGGGAACTACTATACTGAAAGCATGCAACTTCAGAATCCAATAGCCTTCAGTAAATACTAAATAGTGGGATGAGATCCCCGAATCACTCAGTCAAATGTCCCAGTAGTAGATACATTTAGTGGCCACTCTGTAGAGGTGTCTTGCGGAAAAGATAAATGCACGTGTGTACATCCGGCTTTTTCTTTCCTTGCACTAATAGCAGCCTTATCATAATGAGGTTTCTTATAAAACGTGGATCCTTTAATTAATAATATTGTGAAGGAGCAAAGTTACATTCGGTTCTCACTGGAGTTAGTGGGTTTATACAGCGAGATCCTCAAGAGTGCGGTGGGGCTGTTCAAATTTAGAATAAAGAGGTGAAGCATTGTTGCTTTTGAGGTGGGTATTTAACAGGTAGTGGTAGGAAGAGAACAGATTGAAAGAATCAGTTATATTTTGAGGCTGAAAATAACAATATTTAGTAGATTAGCTTGCTAATCATGTTTTACAGTTAGAGATTGGAGTTTTAGAATCCTAGGTTATCTTGGCATGCATAATAATTTTCTTGGTGATCTATGCAAAGTTTTATGTCAAAGATTATCATAGTATAGTTTATTAGCCAACACCACCATCTTCTGTTTAAAAAAGATATTTCACTTACAAGTCACATACATATTTGCTTTTTTTATTTGTCGATGGATTCGTTTTAGTACTTACCAAACTCACTGAGATCATTATATGAGTAAGGCAGCAGATTATTAATATTGATGGTCACTAATACTCGCAATGATATTGGAACTCCACTTGAACACAAGCGAAATATGCCATAGATGTTTAATTTTTACTCTGAATGATGAGGAGTCTCATCAGCACTCCAGCGTTTGCTTGCCCAATACGTGTCTCTTTTTTATTTTCATTAGGTTCGTCAGGATGCCGTCTGCCCGGCAATCATTGAAGTATGGAGTCATTTTTCAAACCTAACAGCACAGTTTTTCACTTTCCGATGAGCATCTCGATGCTGGCGTTGCACTCTTGCTTTGACTGGCTGCTGTAGATGCCTTTCAACCTTGATCGTACCGGTAAAGCACTAAACATTCATTTCCTATCTTTTTAGTTATATGTTGGTATTTTATTCAAGTTTATATGCGGGAATCGAGCAATCTAAGCTTAAACCATTGCTTAATTCGTGAAGAATAGAGTCCACAAGGATTTTTCTAGTGTTCAGACTGAACTATTAATTAAATGGGGGCACGATGCCCACCAAAACTCCAGGACTTCAATATATATGTATACTCGTGCCATGCTTTAAGTCAAAGCATCAGTATTCACATCCACTAGCAAGTAGATCACAGGGTCAGCTGCAGTATCTGAATCTTTACTCCAGGTACCTTGTTCCAGCATTAAAAATTAGATTCTTTTTGTCTACTGATTCGTTTGTTTTCCCTTGAATTTGATTCCTTGGCAATGGCAATTTTTTCAGAATTCTCAAGTCTGCTTTTAGCTGGTTGATTTTTGTCTACGGTACATTCTTGATACTGATTCTCCTGATTGCTTGTGTGATACAATACATATTTAATACAGTCTTTGAAATAATTCAAACGAAGAGGACTCATTATTTGCGTTCCTAATTTTTGGTAGGGTATAGGTATTTGTTTAGCCGTGCTTGTTCTCTCATGGTCCCAGTTCAGGATATACATACATATAGACGCATGCACTCATAGATTAGAAAAAAAATGCACCAAGTGCTGATTAGAAATAAGCGCAGCGGCATTAGCAAATGCAACATCGATCAATGTATGCATTATGAAGAGATTAGTGGGAGAGAAGTTGATGATAAAAAAGGAATCCATGAAAATAAATGTGTATTAAAAAGGTCCCATGCTGTACATCTGAGACTATAATGCAAGACAATGTAGAAACATATCATTTTAACTTTAGATAATAATACACCATGCATTCCCACGTGTGTAACTTTTTCAGAAAGGTTAGCTTGCAGTCACAATTTTTGCAGTGTAACAAGATATGCTACCACACAAATAATCTCTATCTTTCACCGAGAAACAATACCAGTAAAACTAATTTAAAGGTCTAGAGAGTGATGTAGATTGTGGATTTCTTTTTATGTGGGACTCTGTAATCTATCTTTTCCCTCCTATTCTTTGTTTTTTAGCTTGTCTCTTCTCTCATGACTCTCAATGTCTACCGTAGAACAGACAAAAAGCAGTGGGTGACCGGTTTCCTGGGATTACTGAGACTTCTTTTCCTTTTCAATTTCTTTTTGCCTGGAACGAAGATTAAATTATAACGAGTTTAAATCAATCAAAAGACAAGTTGCTCAAGCCGGCTTTTTCTTTCCAGGCAGCCTAATACTGCCACAAACATATAGTTGAATGTCGATAGCTATTTAGCTCCCTAATGCACTATCCATCACCAATCATTCATGAGAGTGACAAGAGATTCGAGTATTAAATCATACGAGGTGGGCCTCGGAGGACCTTCATGGAAACACCATAAGCCAGCTTTCTAGTTCGTAGGATAGCCATGATTGTACTTGGATGGAACTACAGACAATGTATTCTCGTGAGTTTAAGATGCTGAAAGGTAACCAAAGGGGAGTATCAAACACTTCGTAATATTGGCATCCTGTTTCCTAAAAAAAACAATAATAAAAACATGAGAGATGACATGTGTCAACAAATACTTGAATGTTCTGTATAGAATCACACAATTAACGGAGTCTTGTGTCCTACCCACAGCTCATTGAAGGATGAATACCATCGTTGCCCATTCATTCAGTACACATTATTCGCATAACTTAAGAAAGCAAATAACTTGTATTCTTCCCACTGAAACCTGCATCATGTGCATTTGGTAGTGCACAATTTAATTACTGAGACCAAAAAGTCCCTTGATACCCAAAAACTCTAGTTGCTGCCATCAGCATCGCGAGTAAAATTTAATTGGATGGCTATTCTGATCTCACAATCCCAGGGTGAATTTATCAGCATACCGTATCCACTTCACGGTCTGTCCTTTGCATATCTACGCTTCACATTCCACAGCTTCTGCTCCGTGCCAGTTCGATTTGGCAGACAGCCAGGGATGGAGTTTTCCTTTTGCGACATGCAACCCATTCACTCGTTAACCTGGGTGGGTTTGGGTCATAACCAGCCAACCCAAAACCAATCCGCTCGCCCCACTCTTTACCACGGAGAAGAAACGGACAACAAAGTTGGTCTCCTTCGCTTCTGCCTTCTGCAAGCGGAAGTGGAGGCAACAGAATAAAGCAAGGAAGACAGTGGGGGGGGGGGAGGCGGAAAGAAATAGCAAAAGAGGGGAGCTTTACTCTGCTTCGGTGGTGGTGGGTGGGAATGGGTGGCGGAGCATCGAGATGGAGGAGGGCGGCGAGGAAGATTGGTTTCCCTTGCGCTTCCTTCTCCAGTGAGACCCCAGCTAAAACTGTACGCTCCCTTTCTTTCCTCTATTCTCCTCCTCCATCTGGATTTCCCTAAAAGGAGCAGAAATTAGCCACCGTTTTTTTTTGCTCTTTTCAGTTTTCTTCCGATGTTATCCTCGAGAGGCGCTTTCTGCATTGTTCTCGTTAAAAAAGATCATTCTTTTGCATTTTTGTTTCAGAAAAATCGAATTTTTGGGTCGGAACCATGGTGCATTGACCTCATTGTCTTTCTTCTGCATTATTGTCGGGAAGAAATTTTTGGTAAGGTGACTTTGCTCTTGTTTTAATTCCTTTTTCTCCTCAAAATGGGGCAATTTGTTCCAATTCCTTGCACGAAAGTCGTACTTTTTTTTCTTTGGATTTGACCTTGTCTTTTGCTACCTGCTCTAGAAAAACGAATCATTTTTATTGTGTGGATTTCTATCTTAATTTCTCCTGTTCTTGCATATCTCGAAGCCCCCCGTTTCATTCTGAGCTCTGCAGAACTCCAACTTTTCTCCCATTTCTTGGTATTCTTCCTGGTTCCATCACAATTTGGTCATAGTCTCTCATATTGTTTACTTGCATCATATTAATTCCTAGAAAATTCTGGGTTTTTCAAGTAATGCTGTCGTCAGGGAACGATTTACTCTTAATTTTCCCCATTTCTATACGTACATCTGTTCTAATATTCCGGCATCGATTCCCTAATTCAGATCTCTTTCTCCGGGATTAGCATAACGACGGAGAGCGCAGAGGGAAAACCGGAGGAAGCAGGGGCGAAAGGTGTCCCTGATAAGGTACTCCTCTTAACTTTTCTCTTTCTTCTGCAATCTCGCTTTGGCCCTCCCAAGATTCTTTATCAAACAAAATAGGCTGAAAACACAGATTGGATCTCAAACCTTTTCGAAATAAGCGTTGTTACTTCCCTTGATCCAACCACAATATCACTTGATAGAGGATTAGAGGTAATAAAAGCTTTAGATGTCTGTCATGCCGGTTACTCTTTTAAGTATAGTGAGAACAAGGACAGCCACCACCATCAATGTGTTGCCTGCATGCTTCTGACCATCTGACCACATGGCATTGCCCTCACTGATGATGAACCCCAAACCATCATACTTTATGCTTCAGCTTTTGACAGAAGCTCTTTGGGAAAGCTCGTATAATATGTAAACCGGGGAAACAATGAATTAACATCAGCAGCAAACAGCACCAGGGCACTCATTATTTTGGGCTCCTTCGGAAACCACCAGAATGAGGCCCCTGTCCTTGGAACCACCAACCTTTTCTGATACCTGAGTTGGTGGCGGGCCCCCCTGATACTTGTGGTTTCTTGCCAACTTCATGTATCATTATTGTGTATAGTGTGTGTATATATATGTGCTATTGTATATATGTAGGTTTATGTCTGATATACAGAAAAACTAGTGGTGACATTTTGGATTTACCAGAAGCCAAGGGAGAGAAATCTAAAGCACCACATTATCTCAGCAAAACTCTTGAGGCATGGATAGCCTTCTCTTTTTTCTATCTTATGCTTGAATAGTTTGGGCACATAACCATCATATGTCAATGTTCATTGTTGTGACTGTATCATACATAGCTTAGTCCTTCATTGGTTATAAGGGTGTCATCTCTTAATCCAACATGATAGTCCAATATGAGCACCACCATGAAGTTAGTTTGGTTAGGTGTGCATGTGTTGGAGTCATAATTAATTTGACATGGTTTATCCGGTTAATAAATGTGTTAGATTAGGGTTTAAGGAATTGACACAATTGATCCAAATTAAGCTGATTAATAGTCCGGTTAAATATGTCATGTCATTAAATGGACCGCTTAAATTGTGTCATTATTGGGTTTATTGGTTGCACTGTGAAGTTTGTATTGTATAAGCAAGTCGAATCTTGCTTTGCATCCTTAGTATGATCTGAGTTGGCTTACTTGAACCTGTTACACGGATCGAGTTGGGTGCCATGATACTAAATGAGTTTGGTTTGGTTATGATTTTTTTGATATAATTATCAAATGTGTTGGATTTGAGTTGAAAGTTCTGTTCTAATACTAACATCTTGACCTGATATGAATATGACTCGACATGACCAAAAATAAATATAGTTTTTAGTCATATGTTGTGAAGCATTTGATTTTCACCGATCATGTTGATATACAAATACACGTCTTATGATACTAACTATATATTTCTTTCTAGAATTTACTTCCAATTATTCTTTTTATTTTTATCTGTATTTTTTGAATATCATAGTGGTTGAGGCAGTTCCAAGCAATATGAAGCTATAATAGCAGCTTCGATTTGTGTCATTGTTCAAAGAATATATTATTTACTTTTCCATGTTAATATTATCAATCTATTATCTTTTCTGGGGTGACTCTACATACATACAAAACACAAGCAAAAGTGTACTAATTTGTTGGAGCCTACTTGGTGCTGAGGTATCATCTAAGTCACATATGGATGTGAGGTAAAGTCCCGCATGGGTCCTGCATGGACAGCTACCACTGCTATCTTGGCTTCAATTTCTAATCAACCATTACATGTATACATTTGGCATGTGTATGATGCATTGTTGTTTGGTTTACACTTCTGATATCATTTCAATGCAGCAAAGAGTTCCTAATAGCTATAAGAGTTTTGAGACCATGCCAAATAAGTATAGCCTTTGACTGAAAGCACAGAGGGTAACTATAAATCCTAAGATGTTTCTTGAATTTGTCCCAGTTTCCAGATCTTATTTCAGCTTCATTTCTACTAGCCTGCTCGACTATAACTGAAGCTTTCTTTCTTACTATGATGGTAGAGGCTATGTGCAATTTGCTTGGAGCCCCTTAGCTGTGGTGATGGCAGTACCAATTTTGCCAGCAACCAAAAGATCTTCACAGCACAATGCATGCATGCTTTTCACTTCATGTGCATTGCATCGAATGTCCGGCATGGCAGTGTTACATGCCCCATCTGCCGAGCACAATGGTCACAGCTCCCACGTGAGTTCACCACGCCCTCCATTAGCAACACTGACCCCATCCTCCGCATCCTTGATGACTCGATTGCCACTTCCCGCTTTAACCGCCGATCATTTCTCCGTGCCACCCGCTACAATGATGATGACCCTGTTGAGCCTGAAGCAGCAATTGAAGCCAGCCACCCTCGCCTTCACCTTGCCATCATTCCTGTTTCATCACCAACAGGTAATTGATTCCTGTCTCTTGTAAACACCTGTTGTCCTTGCACTATCAGTGATGACTGACTAGATCTTCTGTAGATGTGCTTCCACAATATAATACTTTGCCAAATGGGCGGAAGAGGGCCTACCTGTCTGTAAAACTCTCTCAGCAACAAGCAACTGATCTGATTCTTGTTGCAAGCCCAAATGGGCCTCATTTAAGGCTGCTCAAGCAATCCATGACACTTGTGGTCTTCTCGCTGCGTCCCATGGATCGGTTGGCCATCGTCACCTACTCCACCACTGCCACTCGTGCCTTCCCTCTAAGGCGGATGTCATCTCAAGGGAAGCGGGCAGCACTACAAGTTATCGATCGCATATTTTACCTAGGTGAAGCTGTACCTGCTGAAGGGCTCCGGAAAGGTCTCAAGATATTGGAGGACCGGACTCACCACAATCCACTTGCTTGCATCCTCCACCTTTCAGACAGCCCGACCCAAAGTTATGTCTGCAGAGACCTGCAGTTTCCCATCCCAATTCACAGGTTCCATATTGGTTTTGGATTTGGGATGTCAAGTGGGTTTGTAATGCATGAGTTTGAAGAGTTCTTAGCTAGATTGCTTGGGGGCATGATCAGAGAGACCCAAGTAAGAATAGGAGCAGAGGGTGGACGGGTATTGTTGGGGGAGCTGAGAGGAGGAGAAGAAAGGAGGATACCAGTGAACTCAATTGATGACTGTGGATACCTTGCTGTCAGCTATAGCTATGTTGAAGGAGGAGCAGAACAGAGGCTAAGCACTGGGGAAGTAGTGCTTGGGACCGAGATGAAGAATGACCAAAATGATCCTCAGGGTGAGATTGAAGCAATTGATCTCACTGTTAGAGGAAGGAGCAACCATGTCGAGAGGTGGGGTTACCTTGACCCCTTCATGGCTCGACGATGGGCAAAGCATCTGCATGGACACAAAGCATGACGACAACTGTTCAAATAAATCTCAATTGTATGAATCTTGTGAATGCAATGAAGGCTTTGGGTTCAGAATCCTGATGAGGTTCAGCTGTAAAGTTGAAAGACTTATCCTTTCAACTCAATGAGATCACCCGGGTTTCGCAATGATGGAGATCTCTAAATCAGCATCCTCATTTTTTTCACATCATCATGTAAGCAGATACTTTCATATTTCTTGTATTCTTTCTTTCCTTTTCCAACATCATTTTTACTACCATGTGAGTGTGGATATGCCTGTATGATCTTGCTTATTAAGCAACATTGATTTCCCCCAGAGATTTTGTGTATCCTTTGGTATTGAAACTTTATGGCATTTTGTTCCCTTATTATAATATTTTGAGCAATATCATGATTCAACGTTGCAATGACTTTATATTTAAATGACCAATACGCAGAATCACATAATGTTTAGAGCACTGGAACTATGGCTACATCTATGCTTACATATCCTGACCATTTGTAAGAGCTCTCTAGTTGTATCCCTATCTATCTTTTTATCTAATAATGGCCACAAGGTATCAAAGAAGCATGAGCAATATATTCTCTGCTTATCTGAACCACTAAGACTCTGAACCTTAAAAATCGAATTGTCTGTAGCTGCAAGTCACTGATTTCTCATATTGACAAGACTGTAATTGCTTCTTCACTCTATGAGCAAATCAGTTTCAATAGATCATGCTTGTAGGTAATGTGATTGGTAACACATCAACTAAATGTTGCTTCCAATCAACTCCTTCCACAGCTAGATACAGTTAAATTATGACCATTGCAGGGACAAAATTCATGTGAGCAGATGAATTAAGCTAGAATGACACTGCTTATTGGATCATCTGAGCTCTTCTCTCTTAGAATGTAAAAAACTTGATTCTTCGTAGTAAAATTATGAACTTGAAAATAATAAAAATTAATTAAAGTTGGGAACATCAATGGGGATTCAGTCATCAGTTACAAATGAGCTAATTGCCTGTAGATATTGTTTGATTAAACTTTCTTAATGTTTTAATGTGAGTGAAACTAAATAAACCCTTCCGAAGTATGTCTTGATGATAACATAGTTTACTTTTTAGGGTATTGCTAATTTGACCTCTAGTATAATCAATCCCAAGTAGAATTACGATTTACTTATAACTTGTCATTACCTAATAAAAAATTCCAATGTTAGAAAACCAGGTGGTTTTCCTGGTCATATATCAGATTTGTAAAAAGAAATTATCATTTCATTCCAAAAAAATCATATGAGTAATATTTATCAGATTTTTTTTCTTTGAATTTAAATATTTATCTTTATAATATTAAATATTTTTAATTAAAAAAATCATATGAGTCATAAACAACGGAAAAATCTAACTAGGCCTCAAACATATTACAAAGTAGTAAGTTATTTTAAAAATAAATATAGGATAAAAACGCATCAATAACTACGTAGAAACATCCGAAAAATCATAAAAATAATATTTAATATTCATAAAATATATATGAATACTAATGATTTAATATGAAAGGTTAACATTGAAATTATTATGAAACTCATATATAAAAAAATAATGATAATTCTTATATAATAAAAAAAAAAGTATTAGTGATATGCAACACATCTGGAACATGGTAAAATAATAAAGGTGTATATACACTTGATAGTGCACTGTTCCAATAGCAAATAGAGAGACATACTCTATAGGATGGATTCCTTCCCAATAACAAATAAAGAAAGAACTCATATTATACTCCCAGATGGAGTAATATCTCTCACTTATCTAAGTGGAGACACCTTCCTCTCAATAGTTAATAGAGGAACCGTTTAACCATCGCATATGACGATCTACTAATCTCCGAAGAGAATCACCCTACTTCTCTTCAATAGATAAGTATATTTATATTTATTTATATTTATTCATTTATTTATATATGCATCCAAGAAGTAATATGATAAAATATTATGAATGATCATGCTTAATATATAACCTATTAGATTATGTCCATTGGTGACTCCATACCGTGATAAACTCGTAGCTTCTTTCGTATATTACACTGCTAGCATGGATTACTCAACATAGTCATATATATTTCATGATAGAAATCATATCAATATCATCAATTTAATCTAAAAAAAAAAACTAATCATCATTTTCGAATGGAACCTTTAGATAAAACTTTTAAATTCATCAAATCATAAAGACATAAAGTATCAATTTCTCAATAGTTCTTAATCAAATAAAACCCTAATTGCAATCGCTCTATTGACTTGTGCTAGTCATAGATGCCTTGCAAGCTAATCATGTGAGTGATGACATGTGTGATAAAGGGTTGCTAAGAAAGATCCGGCAAAGGACAAAAGTCAGTGCTTCCATTACGACAAAGATGGGCACTGGAAGAGGAACTGTAAAGAGTACCTTACAGAGAGGGCAAAACAAAAGCTTTGAGAAGCTTCAGTACATTCATGATCGGTCTCTATTTGTCAGACTCTTATGATAACACATGAGTATTATATACTGATAGTGCTTATTACATTTACAATTTGTTATAAGCAAAACCTTGGAGATTAGCAAGAGGAACAATGCATAATAGTTTGTTTATGCTAGACACTACTCCACATAAATGTAAGTGTGTCCAAGAGGAACCGAGATGAGGTGAACAATGCATACCTATGACATTGTAGGCTAGGTCATATTCATGAGGGAAGGATCCAAAAGTTGCTAAAGGATGAATATCTAGATCCATTCGATTATGAGTCATATACAACTTGCAAGTCTTGCTTTCGTGGAAAACTAATCAACTCTACTTTTAGTGGAACTAGAGAGAGAGAGCCACTGAGCTATTGGAACTCATATATAGTGATATATGTGAACCCATGTCAACTCATGTTATCGGTGGTTACTCCTACTTTATTACTTTTACTGATGATTTCTCAAGGTATGGACATGTGTACTTGATGAAGTACAAGTTCGAGACCTTTAAAAAATTCAGTGAGTATAAGAATGAAGTGAAGAACTAGACTAGAAAGAGTATTAAGACTCTTCGATCAGATCGATAAGGTGAATACTTGAGTATAGAGTTCACTCAATTCCTTAAGGACTATGAGATTCTATCCAAATGGACACCTCCTTATACACCTTAGCTCAATAGTGTATTTGAAAGGAGGAATCATATTGTAGGAAAATCTTAAGGAGCATCACATGCGCAGCGGAATAACATAAAACAAAATCCCTAAATTTTCCAAAGATGTGTTCGTCGTCATGCAAAGATTGGTATGCAAAATCTACGAAACTTAAAAGCTACGTGTGAGATAGATTATGTTACCTAGGGATATCATATATTCCTAAATCCCTACAGATCTCTAGGAGAGGGTGAAGGAGGTCAAGCGTCCTCCTCTCTAGTGGTGATCCACACAATAGGGCTGCAACGATGCTTCTTAAAACTCTAGGCCTACTATCTGAGGAGGAGAACGGGTGGAGAGTGGAAGATGACAACCCAAAGAGGCTCTAGCCTATGAACTATTGGTTCTCTCATATTTATAGAGATCCCCTATCAACTTAACCCTAATGGATCCTGCCCTATTAGGTATTGGATCTCCATCCAATTACCCAAGCCTCTTATATTAGTGGATCTGTATCCAATAATCCCTCACTGGTTCTTATTGGATCTCATCCATAGGATCTAATAATTCATGGTCTTATTGGATATCCAATAAGATGGGGGCTCCGACGGATATATCATATCTGAATCTCTACTCATTGTAACGCCTATCATATGTGTGTGACCCTCTAGGCTCAATATCAAGCTGGTCGTGAGTCATACCAGTCAGAACCTCTTCTGGCTCAGTGAATTATTATCTCTATAATAATTCACTCGACTCATCGATTGTGGACATACTAGGCCACTACGTCGTAGTCCTCAAACGATACAAGGGAATTCAATCGATTGGACATGTTTGTCCTCAGTTACCGTATTCTTATAGTCCCTCATCCATCTAATATCTCAGAGACCATATATCATGCATGGTGTTGTCAGACCCATATGATTTCTACTCGAGTCTCGCTCTAATCAGAGTCTTCCGGAGAACTCTTTCTCTCTCAATCTGAATGACCCTAGCCAGGGATTTGTTTGAGCAATAACATATGAGATATTTCTCTCGTGACACTAAAAGTGGATGATCCCCAATTGACACCCAATAGTCCTCGTAAGATTGGCTACCACTCTCGATGACCAATTATGCTAAATTTGGAACCTTCATACCTAAAAGTCTGGTATCAAAGAATAGAGTACTCATACAGGACATCCTTGATGTCTCAAGTCTAAGGACCAAATACACCACCGGGACTACGAAATTATTGTTTGACAATAAGGTATCATCAATCATCTAGCATTTCGTAAGTGGATCAATAAAGAAACTCATTCTCCAATGAGCACTTGTATTGTATCCATAGTATCCCTACACGAGCAGCTATAAAATTAGCTGCATCTATCATATGGACTAGTATATAGCACACCAGTCTGTCCGGTTATTTCGATGTCCCTCTCGAGTAACTTATGACTGAGATTATTTAGGATATGCATTTAATGGCGAATCGATCTCATTATCGTGATCTCATCACGATCTAATTCTTATTGCAAAGATCCATGGACAACACAATATATATGTGTATATATAATAATCAATATAAAGTGATAAAATAATAGATAATATAATAAGAAAAAGGAATACGTATCATGTCACACATGTCATCACTCACGTGATTGGCTTGCAGGGCACCTATGACTAGCACAAGTCAATAGAGCGATTGTAATTAAGGTTCTATTTGATTAAGAACTATTGAGAAATTGATGCTTTATGTCTTTATGATTTGATGAATTTAAAAGTTTTATCTAAGGTACCATTCGAAAATGATGATTATTTTTTTTATTTTTAGATTAAATTGATGATATTGATATGATTACTATCATGAAGTATATATGACTATGTTGAGTAACCTATGTTAGAAGTGTAATATGTGAAAGGAGCTATGAGTTTATCAGAGCAACCAACGGACATAATCTAATAGGTTATATATTAAGCATGATCATTCATAATATTTTATAATATTACTTCTTGGATGCATGTATGAATAAATAGATAAATATAAATAAATGATCATGGATAAATATAAATATACTTCTTTACTGAAGAGAAGTAGGGTAATTCACTTTGGAGATTAGTAGATCGTCAAATGTGATGGTTAAATAGTTCCTCCATTAACTATTGAGAGGAAGGTGTCTCCACTTAGGTAAGTGAGAGGTATATTACATATGATTCTCTCCTTAGAGAACTGAGACTTATCTCTCCTAAATA